GGAATTAAAGAATTCTCTGGTATGAGAAATTTGGAAATATCTTTTTATTTATGTGATTGTTTTCCTCCATTGAAAAATAATCTTGAATTGTTTCTGCCTATAAACATAAAGTAAGATAGATGAAGAGAAAATTTAGGGAGAATAGTAAATTGAAGACAAAGAAAAGGTTTTTTTATACGTCTACAGGCCGTAAAATGCCCTTTTTAAAAATAGAGATATAACTGCCAGGTAATATTACATTAATGTCAGATGTACAACATAATTCTCTCTCTCTATATGGGTATATGTATACACACATACACACATATATGTAGAGAGGAAATGATCATGCCAATAAGTCTAGTTAACATTCATCACCACACATACAATTTTTTTTCTTGTATGCCAAACTTTTGAGATTTACTCTCTCAGTAGCTTTCTAATATATAATATAGTATTATTAACTATAGTCCTCATGCTGTACATTATATTCCAGGACTTATTTAGTATATAAGTAGAAGTTTGTACTTTTTGCTCACCTTAACCTGTTTCACCCATCTCCCCAACTTCCCCTTTGGCAACCACCAGTCTGTTCTTTGAATCTAGGAGTTTACTTTTTGTTTACTTTTTTTTTTAGATTCTACATCTAAATGAGACCATATGGTATTTGTCTTGGTGACTTATTTCACTTAGCTAATAACCTCAAGGTCCATCCATATTGTCACAAATGGCAGGATTTCCTTTTATATAGCTGAATAGTAACTCGTTCTATATATTTACACCACATTTTCTTTATTCATTCATCCATCTACAAACTCTTTAGTTATTTCTATGCCTTGGTTCATGTAAACAATGCTGCAATGGACATGAGGTGCAGATATCTTTTTGAGTTAGTCCTGTTTTTCTTTTTTTGTGATGCAATTATAAATGTCTCAGACATTCAAAAGTTGTAAGATTATGTCATTAACATCCAGGTGCCTAGCATTTCAGATTAAAAAAAATAAACATTACAAATGTTTCTGAAGCCCACATATATTATCTCTGATTGACTTCTTTCTTTCCTGGGACTTAGTTAACTAAAATAACAAATCTGGAATCACTTCTTTTATTTAACATTTTATATTTGAGATTTCTCCATGATGTTTTATAATCAGTAGTACCTGCATTTTCACTCTTATCTTTATGGATTCTACTTATTTATTTGTTTATCCATATTTCTGATGGACATGGGTGCTTGAGAGTTTTATATATTTTTTCTCTTCCATTAGCAGATCCTTTCTGGTCTACCTTCAGAACACACCCAAAGTCTAATCTGGTCCAAACCATTGTCATCTAGCTGGATCATTATATTAACCTCCTCATTGGTCATTACCCCTTCTTCAGTCTCTTCTCAGCATCCTGACCTGTGGGGATTTTTGTAAAATTTAAGACAGAATCTTCTCCCATTCTGTAGGTTGCCTTATAGTTTTGTCGATTACTTCCTTCACCACACAGAAGCTTTTGATCTTGATAAAGTCCCAATAGTTCATGTTTGCCTTCGTTTCCCTTGCTTTCGGGGACATGTCTAGTAGGATGGGTAGATGGGTGTTGGGTATTAGGAAGAGCACTTGTTGTGATGAGCACTGGGTGTTGTATGTGAATGATGAATCACTGAATTCTACTTCTGAAACCCATATTGCACTGCATGGTGGCTAACTAACACATAAACAATAAAAGAAGACAAAAAATTAAAGTCAGAATCTTTTGCGCCCATCTTTGAAATCCTCCAGTGACTGCCAAATCATCCCAAGTACAAGTCCAAGTCATTGTAAAATTTTGTAAACCTCTATATGACCCCTCTCCCTTCCCAGTTATCTCTCTGGCCTCATTTTTTCTCCTCCCCTAACTCCAGCCAAAGTGGCCTCTTTGTTCTTTGTTCTCTGCTTCAGGAAAGTACTTGTTGGTCCTTCTGCCTGAAACAATATTCTCCTGAGTATTCCTATGGTTGCCTCTCCCACTCTCTTAAAGATTTTTACTCAAATGTCAACCTCCCAGCAATGCCTTCCTCAACCCTACCTTTTACTTTTCAATTCACTGCTCAAAATTATTCTCTCTCTGATTTTTCTCCCTACACTAATCACTTCCAACATAACACAGTTTGCTTCTTTTGTTTACTGTCAGTCTTCCTTCACTAGAGGCTTCAAACAAGAAGGCATTTTTGCTTTCTTAACTGCCATAACTTGTGAATCTAGAACTTTCCCTGACACAACCTAGGTGCTTGATAAATATTTCATGTAGGAATTAATAAGTGAGAACTGAACTTACCCAATGATATTAAATGGCATTATTAATTTCTTACATTTCTCAAAAAATTTACATGAACTAAAAGGGGAACATTTTTATATATTTACAATTAGCTGAACCTAGAGATTCTTGGTTACCTATTAGGAATATATTTGAAGAAATCATAAAGATGTCTCCTGGCATGAAAGCATAAAATAGCATGAGAAGAAGCAAATGATTTAAGGAAATCCATCTTAAATGTCCTTGTATAACCCTCTCCTTTTCAAGCTACAATATTGTTTTCCCATTTCAGCCCCTGGACTTAGATATATGATTCTTTTGAATAGCTTTTAGTACCCTTGTGTGACAATTATTTGACTCCATGCTACCTTTTGGATCTCAAATAAACCATGATGAATTACTGGCATCTTCTCTTACATTTCCAGCCCATTTAAGTGGATTCTGTCTTTGCCAAGTATCATCTTGCCAAGTAGCACTGTGGTACATAACAAAGATGATTTTATTTTTGTTTGCCAAAAGGAACGTTTTCTCTACCAGGAACAGTTATTCCTAGAAAATAATAGTTAGATGTAGCCATATACAGGCTGTAGTCAAAAGTGTTTTTACTTTATTTTTCTACTTCCAAAAACATATTAAAATTATTACAGAAGAAAGAGTAAAGGTTTTAAAAGCATTAGTGTTCAATAGGTTGCCTGGGCTGCTTAAAGGTGTCTCCAGAATCTAGCAATGAGAAAAGTATAACAGCAAAATAATAATGGAAGCTAACATTTTCTGAGTGATTACTATGATCCCAACATCTGCTAAGTGATTTATTTGTATTACCTCATTTTATCTAACCCAGTGAGGCTGATACTGTTTTTCACAGAAGAGGCAGAGAATCACTGAGAAGTAACTCACACAAGATCTTAAAATTAGGATTCAGATCAGGCAATCAGACTCCAAGGTCTAGGCTCTTGACTCTTAAGCACAATTAAACATACCTGGAAAATACATGATTCTTTAAAACTTAGTTACTCTTCTAAATGTTAATAAATGTATTATCTCTAATAATCCTTTAGACAAAACTCAAGAGTTTAAAATGTTTTTAAAACCCTAAATATGACAAATATGATTTGTTATCTGCTTTTATCCATTCAAAATCTATAGACAATCTACTGAAATATTTTGATATTTATACATTTATCACTTTCCTCCTAGAATATGCATTTTTTGTGTTTATAGAGTCCATAAGCTTTATTCAGAAAAAGTAAATGAAATATATTATAAAACATAGGAAAAAATAATTTTTCATAGGTTGACTTTTTTTTATATATTTTCAAGGCCACTGAGGAGAGCATTCCAGAAAATAGAAACTGTACTTTCTGTGATAAACTTATATTCTTTTAAAAAATACTTCTGGTGATTGAAGACCCTTTTATCTTTTTTTTTTTTTTTTTAAATGTAGATTATTTCATCTTTCAGTTATTTTTATTTGTTGTTATTTATTTATTTGTTGTTGTTGTTTTTTATGTATATGAAAATTTATTGTCAAGGTGAATTGGTTTCCATACCCAGCACCAGTGCTCATCCCAAAGTTACCTCCTCAATGCCATCACCCACCCTCCTCCTCCACATCAACCCTCAGTTTGTCTCGGTTCTATATAACAGTCTCTTATGCTTTGGCTCTCTCCCTCTAACCTCTTTTCCTTCCCCTCCCCATGCCGGTTCCTGTTAGGACTACTCCAGAGTCCACATAAGTATATGGTATCTGTCTTTCTCTGTGTGAAAACCTACATAGCATCACACTCTCCAGTTCCATCACGTTGCTACAAAGGCCATATTTCATTTTCTCTATTTGCCACGTAGTATTCCACCAGTGTATATAAACCACGAATTTCTTTATCGTGTCAGTTGATGGACATTTGAAGCTCTTTTACATAATTTGTGGCTATTCTTGTTGAGAGTGCTGCTATGAACATTGGGGTGATGCCCCCTAAATAGTACTCCTGTGTCCCTTGGATAAATTCCCCAACAGTGCTATTACTGGGTCATGAGATGAGTCTATTTTTTTAATTTTCTGAGGAACCTCCACACTGCTTTCCAGAGCGGCTGCACCAATTTGCATTCCCACCAACAGTGCAAGAGGAAGACCCTTTTATCTTGAAGAGGTATCTTTTCTTAACTGCTACATAATTGGAAGGAAGCCATTGCTATGATATGGACAGAAATTAAGAGTATGTTTTCTGTGAAATCAACTTGATAAGTTGACATGTATGAATACATAATTATAAATACAAAGCAAAATCAGTTACCTACAGGGGCCAAATAGGTATCATAAATGAGATGAAGTAGGCGCCATGTTACTTAGACTATAAAACAAGTGTAATATGTAGGATTTGCATGACAGGATAGACATAAACAGAAATTAAAATGAAATGCTATAAATGCTATATCTCATTGGTTCATGGTCAGGATAAATGTTTTCATTAACTGGAGTATGAAAAACTACTTTCTAGGATTGTGCCATCTTTCAAGCTTATTATATATTGTGTTAGTTTCAAAATTTTTGTAGTAATTCTTTGTGTTTGTAAATATCATCATTTAGAGCACCATACATATACTTCTTTGCACTGTGTTTACTAATTCTTCCTGGGAGGAAACTCCAAATTATGTATGGCAACTGTTTTTTTGTTTTTTTTAACTTCATTCACTGTGTTTTTCTCTTGGTGTGCGTGTATGTGTGTGTGCTTTTGTTGCAGAGAAGGCCAGCAGTCACCAGAACAGTGGCAGAAGATGTATGGTAGATGCTCTGGCAATGAAGTATACCACATTGTTTTGGAAGAAAGTACATTTTTTGCTGAATACGAAGGGAAGAGTTTTACATATGCCTCTTTTCATGCGCACAAAAAGTATGTTACTGCTTCCAGAGTGGACTTAAAATATAAATCAATCATACCTTTTAAACACAGCTTTCTAAAATACAGCCCATATTGGTGCTCATGAATTCCAAGTATTATGGAATTTTTAATGTAATTACTGAGACATTTGAACTCTGAGCTTCTGTATGATCTCTACAAGTTAATATTATTAGGTATAAAGTATAACTTAGTAGGAATATTGACTTTAGTAACTTCTTTTTAAAGTTGATTTTGAGAGAGACAGACACAGTGCAAGTAGGGTAGGGGCAGAGAGAGAGAGAGGGAAAGAAACCCAAGCAGTCTCCATGCTAACAGTGCAGAGCCTGACATGGGGCCTGAACCTATGAAACCTTGAGATCATGACCCCAGCCAAAACCAAGAGTCAGATGCTTAACTGACTGAGCCACCTAGGTGCCTCGACTTTAGTGATTTTTAAATTGTCTTTAACATATTTTAATCTATTAATGGGGCGCCTGGATGGCTCAGTTGGTTAAGTGTCTGACTTCAGCTCAGGTCATGATCTTGTGGTTCTTGAGTTTGGGACCCCTTGTCGGGCTCTGTGCTGACAGCTCAGAGCCTGGAGCCTGCTTGGGATTCTGTGTCTCCCTCTCTTTGCCCCTGCCCCGCTCACACTCTGTCTCTCTCTCTCTCTCTCTCTAAAATAAATAAACATTAAAAAACTATTAAAAATATTTTAATCCATTAGGAATTCACAAATAATGAAATGAATCTTATTTGGAGATCTAATTATAAAGTGTTGTTTAAACATGTAAACAAAGGGGTCACCTGGGTGGCTCAGTTGAATGTATGACTTCAGCTCAGGTCTAGATCTCTTAGTTCTTGACTTCAAGCCCCACATCAGCTCCCTGCTGTCAGCACAGAGCCTGCTTGGGATCTTCTATGTCTGACTCTGCCCCTCCCCAGCTTGCACGTGCCCTCTCTCTCTCTCAAAAATAAACATTTAAAAAATGTAAACAAAGTCATAATAACATTTATAAAAACTAGACATTTAAAAAAACTTTCTTTGGCCAGAGAAATAAGTTAAAAAGTAATCAATAGTATCTTCTAATTGAAACATGAAACATAATTTTTTTTCCTTTTTGAGAAAAATTATTCACTGAAGAAATAAAAATGTATGTTTATAATGAAAGTAATATATTATCAGTATTATAAATATATTGATAAAACATTTTTAAGGTTTATTTATATCTAGTATATTCTACTAATGTAATATTTTATGTATTACACTTAAATTCTCCATGTGATTCTATCCATACATACTAAATATACTTTTGATGTTTAAAAAATATTTAGTTTATAAATAATTTGTATTCAATAGATTTATTTGTAACACTATAAGACATATTGAAATAAAAACATTCAGGACATTTTCTGTTTGGAGCATAACCTGAAAAAGTATAAAAGCAATTATTAATATCTGTTCAATTTAGTGCTTGATATTTCTACTAATTAAGCTGTGCACCTATTCAGACTATTAAATTTTTTATTCCTAAAATTCAGAGTAAACCAAATATGGTAGACACAGAACTAAAAGAAATTAGGGACCCTGATTCTTCGTCATGTGACGTTGGTAAGTTTCTTCCTCTCCTTTAGGCCAATGGCTTTCAATTTTTTTTGACTAAGTAATGTTGTTTTATGTTTTTTGATCAAATGAAAATACATATTTAAGGAAAGACCCAATACACACACACTTTATAAAAAAAATTCTTACCCTTCCTAATGATATAAGTATACATCAGTACAATATGCTGATGTTTTCTATTATCTTTTATTCTCTTCTGCTTTATTTAGGTGAACATATACATACATATATATATATGTTATAATCAACTAAATTGATTTCACAACACACTAAGGACATAGTTTCTTTTCCTGTGAAAATAGGAAAGTCTTGAGAATCTTGAGTCTTGAACTTTTAGGATCTTTTCAAAACGCTTTAAAAGGCTTTGATTTGCTGGAGCGCCTGGGTGGCTCAGTTAACTAAGCATCCAACTTCAGCTTAGGTCATGATCTCACAGTTTGTGGGTTCGAGCTCCATGTCGGGTTCTGTGCTGACAGCTCAGAGCCGGGAGCCTGCTTCAGATTCTCTGTCTCCCTCTCTCTTCTGCTTCTCCCTAGCTCATGCTCTGTCTCTTTCTGTCTCAAAAAAAAGTAAAAGGCTTTGATTTGGGTTTTAATTTTCCTCTGCCTTATAACAGTTTGCTAATATGAAAACTTAAAAACAAAAACTAAGAGCTTGCTGAATCACAATTCTTAAACTTTTATTTATTTATTTTAAATTAAGGTTTGGCGTCTGCTTGATTGGTGTTCGGAGGGAGGATAATAAAAACATTTTGCTGAATCCAGGTCCTCGATGTATTATGAATGCTACAGATATATGTTTTTATATTAATATTACCAAAGAAGAGAATTCAGCATTTAAAAACCAAGACCAGCAGAAAAAAAGCAATGTATCAAGGTCATTTTATCATGGACCTTCTCGATTACCTGTACATAGCATAATTGCCAGCATGGGTAAGTATAAATAAATTTGAAAATATCATTAGTTTCTTTCTTTAAAAAAGCATAATAAATATACTCCAATGTTTGTTAAAATTTCAACATCAAATTTAGAAACTACTTGTGTATATTATAAATTTGGTGTAGCTGCATATACAGAACAAAGTTTCTAAGCTATTAAACTGGTAAGAAATGTAGCTAATTCAAAATTGCCAACAATTTTTCATATTTTTGATTATAATACAAATACCCAACACTTGTGTATTTCTTTTGTAAGTTCTGTATCCAGTTATCAACAGAGGCTATTTCAGATATTCACCATTTTTCTCAAAACGCTTCTTCCATCCTCCATCTCAGGATTGAAGTTAGGTTTTATAACCTAGAAGTTAAAAAAAAAAAGGAAATAGATCCAGAAAAATAAGAATTTCCTTTAAAATTTGCTACCAAACTACCTACAAGCCCACAAACATTCAGTTTTTGTCACAAGGAAATGTGTCCTTTCTTTTAACATTTAACATTTTAATAGGAATGTCATCACTTATATAGTGGTCCCATCTCTTTTACCTCTTCTGGAACCTCACCTGTGTTTTGATTCATCCTCATTACCTAACTTTATTTTTTTCAAAATCATTGGCTCATTTCTCCTTCCTTTGTTTTTTTCTCTGTCTCTGTCTCTGTGTGTCTCTCTCTTCATAAACACACACACACACACACACACACACACACACACACACACACACCCCTGAACCTCTTGGAATGACATCTTCACAGGTAAATTCCTTGAAAGAGTTGTCTTCAGTTGCTGGCTTGTTGTCCCTTCATGCTCTACCCAGTTCAGTCTGAAATCTGCAGTCCTTATATCACTACTCTGACAAAGTCACCACTCTTCTGTTTGTCACTAAATTCATTGGGCATCTTCACAGCATGGTATAGTTTTGACCATGTTCTTCCTGAAACACTCTAGTGCTTTTTCTCTGTATCGTGTACATTCATTTTCCCTAAATACTCCCATCTGTTCCTATAGATTGACTTGCCTGCCAAAAATTGATGATTCTCTCATGTAAATCATTAACTTAAATTTCTCTTCACAACAACATATTCAGCAGTGTACTGGTTATTTCTGTCTGGATGCCTCACAGGAAAAACTAGCACAGCATATTCAAGTTGAACCAATCTTTCTGCCATCATGCAAAACCATCTTCCTCCTCTATTTTTTGGCTAAAGAACAGATGACACATTATAATTTATAAAGTCACAATTCTGACTTTTCACTCTTTCTCTCCTCTCATATCTCAGAATTCACCCAATTCTATTAAATCTGATCATTGAGTAACCCTGAGAGTCATTCCCTTCTCTCTTTGTGCATTGTCTGTATGATCATGGTCTCAGTCTCCATCATCTTTCCCCTCAACTGCAGGGTCAGTCCCCACAACCTTCTCTCCATGCCTTGGTGCTGTCTTGCATTCTTCTCCACCTTGAAACCAGAGTAATAATTTTTACATAATTTTGATAGTGTCATTGTCCCACATAAATCATTTGAATTGCTTCTTATTGGTCAATGGGAAAAAGAAATCTAAATTTTATAATATCACATGGCTTATAATTTGGATGACCAAAATCTCTTATTCTCATGAGTCAATCACAGTTTCCCCAGGACGGTTCCAGTTTATATACATTGTCCCGGGTGTAATTATTGAATTCTTGATTCTCAAGAAGATAAATTACACAGTCACTTTACTTATAAATTTTTTTAATGATTCCATCTTAATTTTCTAGTCCTGTATTTTATCATCCCTTTAATTGCACTCCTAAGTCCCAATCATACTAAATTCCTTTCAATCTTCACTAATGGTTTCTGACCGGTAGACCTTCGCACATGAAGTTTCTTTTGACAGGATCTACTCCCCAGCCTCCAACTTTGCCCTGGTAACAACCTCTAATCCTTTGTATCTCAGTCTCAATATCAGTCTTTCTGAGACATATTCCATGGCTCTACTTGGACTGTATTAGGTAACCCTGTTTGTCATTGACATAGCATATTATCTTTCTTCTACAGTAGTCCTACTCATTATCTTTCCATTATTCACAATTACTTATGGAGTACCTAGTATGTGCTGGAAACTCTTATAAGTATTTATGATAAATTAGTAAACAAATACACAAAGATCCCTACCTCCCAGAGCTTACATTCAATCACAGGGAAGACTGGCAATAAATAGCACATAAAAAATAAATTATTTAGTGTGTTAGAAAGTGATGAGTAATAAGAAAAAAGAAAGAGGGAAACAGAGCTAGTAAAAAAAAGTCTATGAATTCTGGAGAGACTGGATTTTTAAATGAGGTCGTTATTGGGCCTTATTGAAAAGGTGACATTTGAGAAAATACTTGAAGAAAATGAGGGAATTAGCTCTGTGCATATCTGGAAGAAGATCAAGTCCCCACTGGGAGCCTAACTGGGTGGTCTGGGAACAAGGTTCCCAAGGTAAAAAGGTTCTTGTGACTCAAACACAGTGAGGGATAGTGGGGTATAGGAGATGAGGTAGAAGACATAAAATAAGACAAATTGTGTTGGGGCTTTTAAAGTCAAATTAAAGATTATTGTTTCTACTCTGAGTGAAGGAGGATTCATTGAAAGTTTTAAGCAGAGCAATGGCATGACCTCATCTATGCTAACCTATGTTTTAATACAATCACGTTGGCTGCTATTGAGATTCTTGGTTTGGCCAAAGGATCAGAGTATTATCAAGTGGAAATAGTAAGAAAGAGAAAATTCTGGGTAAACTTTGAAGATAGAATAATTAGGGTTTGCTGATGATTGTAAATAAACTGAGAAAAGAGAACTGTGAAGAACTCCAAGGTTTTCGGTTTAAGCAACTGGAAAAAGGGAATGGCTGTCTATTGAGATAGAGAAGGCTTGGGGGAGTGCAGGTTTGGCTGGGGTTGTGGGGGGGGTGGGGCGGGTAAAAAGTTCAGTTTGGGTCACACTGAACTTCAAATGTTTGTTTGACATTGAGAAAAAGATGTCACATAGGAAGTTAGACATAAAAGTCTAGAGTTTAGGAAAGAGTTGTATACCGAAAAGGTAAATTTGGGGTTCGTGAGCTTATGTATTATATTTAAAGCCATGAGACTGAACAAGGTCATTGATGAAATAAGTATGGACAGAAAAGGGATAAAAACAAAGAGTAAATCCTGCAGGATATCAACATTAAATATCAGGGAGATGAAAAGAAACCAGCAAAAGAGACCAAGAAGGAGCCGTTGGCAAGGTAGTAAGAAAGCCTGGTGAGTGTGTGGTCTTAGAACCCAAATGAATCAAGTGTGTCAAGATACTGGAGTGATCAGCCATGTCTACTGCCACCAATAGTTCAAATAACATCAGAATTGAGAACTGGCAATTGAATGTAACAAAATGGTGACCGTTGCTCTTTCATTGGAGTGGTAGCGGAAAACGGTAGATCAGAGGGGTTCATGACAGAATGGTAGAAGACAAATTAGAGATGCTAGGCCCAGTGTCTCTTAAAAAGTTTTGCTGCAAAGGGATGCAAAGAAATGACTTTGTAGTCATGGTGAATATACAAGGAAGTGAGGAGGGCAAGGCAATCGGGAATATATTTAAGAGAATGAACATAATGATAGACCGTGGAACTTAATTTAGCTAAGGAAATGAAAAGCCATCTTTGGTTGAAGGAAGCTGAAAAGGTAGTGGATTCAAAGATTATAATTCCACTGGGAATTAAAAAGGGTAGAGGTGGAAGGAGAAGAGGTGAAGGTACATATCAGAGAATGAGATGCCAGAAATAGAGTTTACATGTACTAAATAGTAACTGTCAGATTTAGGGTATGACTGTGAGAGTGAATCGTTAAAGAATGGTGGAAGAAAAGGCCATTAGTGGATGAAGGGACAAGGAACTAAGTTTAGAGTATTGGAAGGATCATCTTCATGTGTAATGAAATATAAATCTATCTACATGCATAAAGAACTTGCCAAGAATGAGGACAGACATTGTACTGGACGGACTAATGCAGGAACTAAACTATCCAAGCATATTCATTTGCATTGATGCAGGTATCGGTTAGTTAGAGAGTTGAATTTAAACAGGATTTGCTTTTGCCAGGAGAGTAGGGGAGCAAAAATGTGACAAGGGAGCCAAGAGTGTTTGCTAGCAAATAATCATACTGCTTAAATATGGAGCTTAAGGTGGGTAAGAAGAGAAGACAGAACATGAAAGGAGTAAGGGAGACAATTCAAATTTGGTATCATAAATACAGCTGAAGTTCCAGTGGAGTGAAACCGTAGCTGAAGTTGAGACACAAATAAAAGTGACCTAAAAAGATAGGAAATAGTGGTGGTCAGAGGGTGAAGGCAGGAAATGAGTAAAGGGAGCACTGTTGTAATTGGTTATAATAAAATCTAAAGAGTGAATGTGGAAGTGAGGGGCTAAGATAAGGTGAAAAGTGATTTCTTTAGTAAATTCAAGGAAGTGAGATTTTGGATGTGGGGAGGTTTATTTACCTGCATTTTAACACACTGAATGAGGCAGGAAAACTGTTATGAATTGGATTGTGTCCACCAAAATTCATATGTTGAAATCCTAACCGCCCCCCCCCCCCCTTGTAACTCAGAATGTGATCTTTATTGGAGCTAAGGTCTTTACAGAGGTGATCAAGGTAAAATGAGATCATTAGGGTGGGCCCAAATCCACTGTGACTGGTGTCTTTATAAGAAGGGGAAATTAGGACACAGAGACACATCAAAGGAAGACAGTGGGAGGAGACATAGGGAGAAGATGGCCATCTACTAGCCAAGAAGTGAGACCTGGAACAGATCATTCCCTCACAGCCCTCAGAAAAAAACCAGTCCTTCTAACACCTGGATTTTGGGTGTCTACCCTCCAAAACTATGAGGCAATAAATTTCTGTTTCTTAAGCCAACCAATTTCTTTGGTTCTTTGTTATGAATGCAATAGTATTGGAGAAACGGACTAGAATCTTTAAGAAATAAGTAGAATGGCATAGTATTAGTTACCAAACAAAGCCATGAAAGATAGCGGTGGTAGAATCTTGAAGGTATGGGATACAAAGCTGGTATTTTCTAAAGGATAAAAGGAAAATGGTTTAAAAGAGACAGTGACAGCACTGAGGGTATTTATCTACCTCCAACCCACCGTTTTAAAGGGGTGACAGGGAAATGTTAGGGAAGAGCCAGGTTTGTTAAGGAAAGGAAATGTTCCAAGAACGGCTTGTTTCTGTAATTGAAACTACTTTCTAAATTGCGTCTTCCCTGCTAGATTCTTTCTCAGGATCGTATCCCTCAGGCCCAGTTTGGTGCCAGGTGTCCGTGTTGGCAGAATAATCAGGAAGTGACCAAATTTCCCTATGTTGGGCAAGAAAATGATAAAGCGGTAGTTGGGGGTTATGTGGAGTCAAATATATTTGGAGAATGGAATTAAAAGATCATGATTCCTTAGGAAGCAGGAGGGGATTTAATTCCCCCAAGAAGAGTAGGGATGAGCTTTATGTAAATGGAGGTATGTTTGTTTGCTTCTAAGCAGAAATAAAGGAATAAAAGTTTGGTGAAACTTTCATGTTTGTTTAAAGTCAGGGAATTGAAGGGTTTTTTCTACATTAAGTTCTGTTTCCTCCCTGAATATGGCACTGTGGTTATCTGCAGAGGATAAATAATATACATATGATTTTTTTAATGTTTTAATGTTTGTTTATTTTTGAGAGAGAGAGGGAGAGACAGAGTGCGAGCAGGGGAGCGTGCAGAGAGAGAAGGAGACACGATCCAAAGCAGGCTCCAAGCTCTGAGCTGTCAGCACAGAGCCCGATGTGGGGTTCAAACTCACGGACCCCAAGATCATGACCTGAGCCTAAGTCAGACGCTTAACCGACTGAGCCACCCAGCTGCCCCTATACGTATGAATTTTAACTCAAAATCTTAGGATATAAATCATGTATTGCTTTTCTTTATTTTTGTAAGTCAAATATATAAAATTTAATTTTTAATCAATTCCAGACTTAATAGAAAATTTAATCTCATTTTCTCTAGGATCCCCATTCACCCCTCCCCCAAAGAGAATGAGTTATAGATTAGTCCTTATTTATGATGCTAAAATTTTGGGTGAGTGTATAGTTTCTGATGGCAACCACCTTTACCTTCGCTCTGATATTGGAATCGCTGAGTGCTGGTAGCCACATCTCTTTCTCAGAAACAGCAGTTCTAAATATGTTCATCTATGCCCCTCACACAAAGCCTTCCCCACTGACTACAGACACACTAGGCTTCCCGTCCCTTTAATCTGAGTATGTGTATATGAAGAGGTACCAGTCTCTGAAACTTGACCCCCAGAATTTATTTGAATTTTGAGGAATTCTCAAATATTCTCACTAGACTTGTGCTACCAACCCTCACCCTCAAAAACATTCTGTTCATCTGTCTTCCTGTGAAGACTTGTAGTTGCCTCAGAGGTTTTAGAAATCAGTCGCTGACCTCTCTTTCCATGGTACAGGAAAGAGATGCTAAAATCCATTAGTTTTATTTCCCCTTTAAAAATGCCTGCTGAGGGGCACCTGGGTGGTGCAGTTGGTTAAGCGTCCGACTTCAGCCAGGTCACGATCTCGCGGTCCGTGAGTTCGAGCCCCGCGTCAGGCTCTGGGCTGATGGCTCAGAGCCTGGAGCCTGTTTCCGATTCTGTGTCTCCCTCTCTCTCTGCCCCTCCCCCGTTCATGCTCTGTCTCTCTCTGTCCCAAAAATAAATAAACGTTGAAAAAAAATTTTTTTAAATGCCTGCTGAGATAGTAAAGGAGGCGGCAAGGTCAGGTTTGAGAGAAGTGGAGAGTGTTTTAATAGATGATTCAGATGGGACAAAGTGAGGTCTAAGGGCTTTTAGAAAGATGACGGGATATCACTGAGTGCATACATGAAGTGAGTGGTAGTGAAACGTGATGGCATCTATCAGGTAGATTGTATTATTTTCTTCAGAAGGGTAGAGACATCAACTTTCCACAAATTGGTATTTAAATTAATTTCAAAATTCCAATACAAAAAGTCCCAAAGAAATTCATTTCTTCTGTTTACTGTTGAGTACCTCAAGTATTCAAAAGCCTTAAGCTATCTGGGTTTGCTGTTCCTGCTGTCTCAGGGTATTTCCACAGCTCCTGAACTTGCACTCACTATTGTCACAATTGTCTTTCCCATCAAAAACCAAAAGTCATGACTTCAGAGTAACCTTCCTTACCACCTGGTGAAAACTTCATACATCCTCCTGCTCCCAACCCCACTGTTCTTTTTCACATCATTTGTTATATGTTCTGCATGGTATTTATCATTATCTAAAAGAGTTTTTTTCCCCCATTTATTTGTCTACTTGGTTATTTTATTTATTTTTTTTTTAATTTTTTTTTTCAACGTTTATTTATTTTTGGGACAGAGAGAGACAGAGCATGAACGGGGGAGAGGCAGAGAGAGAGGGAGACACAGAATCGGAAACAGGCTCCAGGCTCTGAGCCATCAGCCCAGAGCCTGACGCGGGGCTCGAACTCACGGACCGCGAGATCGTGACCTGGCTGAAGTCGGACGCTCAACCGACTGCGCCACCCAGGCGCCCCTACTTGGTTATTTTAAAGATAAATGGTTATATGTCTCACTCCCTGCATATCCAAAGTGCCTAGGTTAGGTGCTTGCCATGCGGTGATTACTCAGTAAATATTTGTTGAATAAATATAAAATATTAATGGTTCCAATATAAAAAAGTGGTTACGAATCAACCAGAGAATAATAACAAAATGAGGGGAAAGATATGATGAGAAATACACAATATTGCAAAGGATAAAAATTCTTTTTATTAATTTTAAATAAATGTAAATTGAAACAAGGTATTTTTTTCACTTTAAATTCCTAAATATTTCAGGATTTCACAAGTCTTATGTTTTGTGCAATAGAGCTAGACTCAGCAAATACACTTCTGCACAAATACACAATTTTTTTTTAATTCACGTAGGTAAGAAATGCCCACGTGAGAAAGAAATAACTTTGAGATTAAAGGATAAACAATAATATGTTCCCTGGTTATACTGGTTGTATTTTTATCATTAAATGGTTGATTCTCATACAGATGGCAGATGTTTTGATGGATTTTTATGTTTCATTGTTGCAGGTACGGTGGCTATAGACTTGCAAGACACAAGCTGTAGATCAACAAGCGGCCCCACCCTGTCTCTTCCTACAGAGGGAAGCAAAGAAATCCGAAGACCTAGCATTGCCCCCGTTTTAGAGGTTGCAGATACATCATCTATTCAAACATGTGATCTTCTAAGTGATCAATCAGAAGATGAAACTACACCAGATGAAGAAATTTCTTCAAACTTAGAGTATGTTTAGATAGTCTAAATTGTAAGATTTACTGGGATTTGTGCTACTATGAGACATTAATGTCCTTACCTTTTGGACAGCTTAGAATCAATTCTACATACTTCTACCAAAACATCCTTCCTACTAGCCAATATCTCTGTTATATAAAAATAGAAAATACTTTAAGACCTCAAATTTCTGGCTTCAACATATATTTCCAGGCTCCATGTTCTCTCAATTATCTTTTATCCTTAAAGAAGAAAATACATAAATTGGTGTTTTCATGCTATAAGATGCATTTTCATGATTGTATGTTTTTGTTAATTATATTGTACTCTCTAAACTTTATATCCTTCCATGTCGATATTGAAGTTCAGTTATTAAATGACATGTAATGGAGCTTTCTTCCATTAGGCTTCCCTTCCAAATCTCAGCATTTCAGCAGTCTTTTGCATATGATATACGTCAATAATATTTTGAATGCATGGATAAAGGAAGTACTTGTGCTCTTTACTGTGCTTCCGTAATACATAGGGCCAATGTACATGCTATTAGTCACATTTTAGCCTTCAGTAGGGTTTGTTTACTTGTCTTCATCACATATTATATTGCTATTTCTTGAGGAAAGCACAGTGGTCAACAGTCTTGACTATGGAGTCTGAAAGAATTTGTTTCTCATGGCAGTTCCACCTTATACTGGTTATGTACAAATGACTTTGATTAAACAATCTGAATCACAGTGCCTATATCTATAATTGCAGCTTCATGATGTTCATATGAAGTTTAATTGAGATAATGGAGAAGTGCTTATGACAATGCTTTGTGCAGATTAAGCATTCAATGAGTAATAATTACTAGGAGGTATAGCAGGGCTAGTAGTAGTGTCAATGGTAACACCATTCACATACTGCTCCTGATATCTTTCATATAATAGTTGTTCAATTAACATTGATGTTAATGTCGAATTGAACTAAAATAGCCTGAAATACAAGTGAAACTTAAAAAAATCCTTCTTTTAATCCTTTACACTTTAAAAAAATCTATTACAGGGAAGTTTGATGTACCTACAGAACACAATGCACTTTCCAAGAAATCAATAGTACTTAAATATAGTTATGAAATATTTGATGGGAACAAGGAGGTTTGAGTGCCAGGATTTTCCTAGAAATTACTTTGTGTGCTGTGATGGAAATTCTTTCTTTGCATGTGCTTTTGAAAAGATTGAGAGGTCGAATTTTTTTATTTTTAGAAAACGGAAAAAGATGATGAAGTAAAAGTGGAGATTATCAGGTTCTAAATTTGCAAAATGGGCACCTTTTTACCCTCCTAGCTAATAATGTCTGGAAAACAGTTTAAACTAGGTTTGAAATTTGGTTTAGAAGGTAAATTTTTACTGAGAAAACAGTTTTCATATTGGATAAAGGGATTTTGCCTCTACTAAATTTTATTTCTTAACAAATAAATAGTTCTTTTTTCTGCTGCTGCTACTTTTTGATAGTTTTATTTTGAAAATCAATACAGCCGTGATGTACAAGTGGCTATTTTCATGAAGTCAGCAAACAAATGAATGTTTTTGATGATATTTTAAGGAAGATTCCAACAATATTGTTTTTGGTGAATGTTTGAGTGATTAAATCAACTGTTTACTCCTTTGTGATTATGCATCCAGGACTAATGAGTATTGACGAAGTAAATCATAATAAGTCATTTTGCTTTAGGGGCGCCTGGGTGGCTTAGTCGGTTAAGCGCCTGACTTTGGCTCAGGTCATGATCTCATGGTTCGTGGGTTCAAAACCCGCATCGGGCTCTGTGCTGACAGCTTGGGACCTGGAGCCTGCTTCCAGTTCTGTGTCTCCCTCTCTCTCTGCCCTTCCCCCACTCACGTTCTGTCTTTCAAAAATGAATAAACGTTAAAAATTTTTTTTTTAGAAAATAAGTCCTTTTGCTTTAAATGTGTTTTATAAAAAATAATGGTCATATTTTAAAAAGTCTATCTAAATTTTTAAACCGAGGATTGGCAAACTTTTTGTACAGGAACCAGCTAGTAAATATTTTAGACTTTATGGGCCCTGTTTGGCTGTACACACCCAGCTATTTTTGACACATGAAAGCACCCATTGACAATACATAAAATGAATGAGTATGGCTGTGTCCTAAAGAAACTTTACTTGTGGATACTTACATTTTAATTTCATAATATTTTATGTGACATGAAATATTATTCTTTTGTCTTTTTTCAACCATTTATTTTTTTAAGCTTTTTCCAATCCTTTAAAATAAAAAACAAAACAAAACACTTTTAATTCACAAAACTAGCTGATGGGCCAGACATGGTCCATGGGTCCTGGTTTGCTTATCCTTATTATAAATCCTTTCTTTATCAAAATGTAATTGCAACAAAAAGAGTTGCATCTAACTTTATGAAAATCGAGGGGTATGGCTATAACTTAATGGTCCAGCTTTGTGTGTTTTGTTCAAGGCAATTCAAATATTTCATATTATTTTACAGATATGCTAAAGGCTACCCACCTTACTCTCCATATATAGGAAGTTCACCCACTTTTTGTCATCTCCTTCATGAAAAAGTGCCATTTTGCTGCTTAAGACTAGACAAGGTAAGTAATTGTTATTTTCTCCAAAACTGAAATTATGGCATTTTGTAATTACATATATTTAAATAATTTTGTATAATCTTTTGACTAAAATATGTTTAAAGAGCATTATCTTTTCAAATGTAAATGTAATACATAAAATGGTGAATTATACTTTCTTAACTGAACTGAAGATTACCCCAAAACTCTACTCTTCTACTAAAATACCCAATGATTCAGCCAGTCATCTTGTTAAGGAAAAAACAAAGGTGCCAGAATCTCAAAGTTATGAATTTTCAACATCCAAAGTCTCTCAAAATTACTTTGGCCAAATGGGCACTATTTATTTTGCCAGGTATTTTTGCCTCAAAACTTAATGTGTGATTGCTTGACATGGTAAAATTAGCTGATCTATGTGTTAGCCACAAAGGTTCATTATTGATTAGACTGAAAGCTAATATCTGTGTCGTGGTTAATATCTCCTTTCCTAAAGATTTTACTATAGTTCTTGGTTCCTGTCTGGATGTTCCAAAGAAACCATTCAAAACAGAAAGATTCCAAGAAGGCGAGCATTTTTAAATCTCTTTCACGATATGGCCAATTGGCATGACCTGTATAAGAGCTTGTTTTCTTGATGAATAAGAAAGCAGATAAAAACAAGATTCTCAACTGCCCCTCCCACCTCCTAGAAATTAAAATGTGCCACTAATTCTAACCAGGAATTTTACTGTAAATTTTGGAGTTAATGGGTGTTAAAATCTGCTTACAGGCTTTGAAATTTGGGCAAATAACTTCACCATTAAATTTCAGTTTCCACATCTGCAAAATGTTTGTAATTTTAATATGAGCCTCATCGGGTTCTTTTGAGAATTCTATAACTTAGTGTGTGTAGAATGCTTTTAACATAGTGCCTGGAAGTTAATAAATGACTAGGCACTTAATGCATTCTGTTAGTATTCTTGCTACTATTACTTTTTTGTGTAATAAACATCATGGGTCTTGGCTATTACTGTCATTCTTAAGGAAGATTAGCAGAACATTAGAAAATTTCTGCCTTTATCATTCTGAAGCTTTTTTTTGTAAATCTTTGTCATTGCTTCCAAATATTCATCTGGGTCCATTAAGATGGACAGTTCCATCTCTCAACGCCTTTTTCTTTTGTTCTTGTTTTAATTTACCGTGTGCAGTATTTGATAGTACTATCTGTGTATTTTTGGTAACAGTAATGAATCTTAAGCTTCAGGACTCTTCACCTGTATTGACCCTTTCTAAGAACCTGTGACTAATTTTTTAGTTTATAATATTTGTGTTATTTTCCTTAAAGAACATTCCCCAAGAAACAGAAGCTTTAGGCCCCACAAAACCTGGATTCACTTCTTGTACCATTTTATTTTTTAACACACAGTTCAAGAGAAAAAACATACTGGGAGACCAAAGAGGGGAAATGATTTATCCCCAAGCAGGACAACTGGTATAACTGAAAAGTTAAGCTTTCAGAGATACAGATTGGTGAACAATAGAGGGTCCTTTAAAACTAAAGACTGAACTGTCTCTCTACCATATAGAGAAGGCAAAGTTTCTGAATGTTGCTGACTAGCTGTGACATCTGGTATTATCATATATTTATTTAGCATTAGGCTGGCTGGAGGTGGTGGTCTGCTCCATAAAGGAATGTCTACTTTGTAATTAGGAGATGGGGTTGGGCAGCCAATCCTACTGCATCTGTGAAGTGTGAGTTGGGATTATGTTGCCCAGTTCATTCTGCATCAGCATCAACAAGCTGGTTCCTGATCAAGGTTTATCAACACTAAATTCCTTGTTTTCTCCTTTTTGTTTTATTAATTGAGCTACTTCTTCTTAAAAAAAATTTTTTTTTGATGTTTATTTATTTTTGAGAGAGAGAGAGAGACAGAGCACGAGTGGGTGAGGGACAGAGAGAGAGAGGGAGACAGAATTCAAAGCAGACTCCAGGCTCCAAACTCTCAGCACACAGCTGGACACAGGGCTTGAACCCACAAACCGTGAGATCATGACCTGAGCTGAAGTCGAACACTTAACTGACTGAGCCACCCAGGTGTCGCTAATTGAGCTACTCCTAAATTAGTTCTTTTTTTTCTCATTTTACCTCATAAATCTTCAAGTTCTTAATAGTCTCAACATCACCTGTCACTCTTCCCTTTCCACGGCCTCTTTGTGAGTGACCTCATTCCTTCATATGGTTGCAGATCCTACTTATATTAGTAAATCTTCAATCATACTTCCAATGAAGGCTTATTGCTCCCTCCTTTTTAAAACCATTTCCCCTTTCTCTATTCTTTTTTATACCTTAAACCTTCCTTCTGGATTCATTTTTCTACTTCCCAGATTATAGCTTTTAGAAATTCTCTTACTAAGGTCCTATCAGTGTTGAATTCTGTCAATTTCAGTTTCTCTACAAATAATCTTAAAAGATAGATTTGTTGGGTGTCCAATTCCAAGCTATCAGTTTTCTTTTTCCTTTAAGCACATTGGGATTTTATTTACTGCCTTATGGGCTCCATGTTGCTTTTGAGAAGTGGCCATCATCCTAGTTCCTATTCCCTGTGGAGAGTCTCTCTTTTCTGTTTGGCTGGTTTTAAGATCTTGTCATTGCCTTGGTTGTTCTGCACTTTTATTACCATGCATATGAAGCTGGATTTTTATTTATTATTTGACTGAAGTTTTGAGTATTTCATTAATTCTAGAAAATCCTCAGTCAGTATTTACTTGAATAGGGCTTCTTTCTGATACTTTCATTTTCAGGCATCTCGTTTAAATATATGTTAGACACTGTCACACTGTTTTCCAAATATCTTCATTTTTTCTTACTACTTTATATCACTTTCCTTCTCACATTCTGAGTAGTTACTTCAACTCTGCCCTGCAGTTGACCCCATTCATATGCATCAAATGTGTACTATTACCCAGCTTTTGAGTTTTATTTTTAATTAGTGTACTTTTTAGTTCTAAAAGAGAATATATGCATTTCTTAACTTTTTTTTAATGTTTATTTTATTTTTGGGAGAGAGAGAGCATGAGTTGAGGAGGGGCAGGGAGAGAGGGAGACACAGAATCTGAAACAAGTTCAAGGCTCTGAGCTGTCAGCACAGAGTCCAGTGTGGGGCTCGAACTAGGGAATGGTGAGATCATGCCTAGGCCGAAGTCAGAGGCTTAACCAACTGAGCCACCCAGGTGCCCCAAATATATGCATTTCTCTTAACATCTACCTGAGTATTTTAAATAATCTCTTCTTATTTGTTCATACTTTAAATGTTCTCTTTTATTTCTTTAAATACAGTAAATGTGTTCGTTTTATATTCTGAATCTAATAACATCAATAATTTGTAGTCTTTGTGAGTCTAATTCTATCATTTATTGTTTCTGTTGACTCATGGTGCCTTGTTCCCAACAGCATTTTGTAATTTTTTATTAAAGAATGAAGGTAGAGAATATTCCAGAATTGGTGATGAATCCACAGAGAATCAACTAATCTCAACCCAAATAAACAAACTCACATAGAGACATAGATAGATGAAAAAGCAGAACACTAAAGGAGTTCTCCATGCAGATAATTTAGTTTAAAAGAACCTTGGTTTAATACTGCTATGTCTATTAAGTACCAGCCCCCTAGAAAATAGCAAAATACCCTGAGGGCAACAATGAGTTTTGATAAAGTATTGTTATTGTTTTTGTTGTTATTACCAGTAGTAGTATTGTACTTTTGTGTATTTCTATCATTATCTTGACAGCTCAGATGTACAGTTATATAATTAAGGATTTTGTTTTGTTTTGTTTTGCTTTTTTGTTTTTTAACAACAAAGAAAATGTTTTTTCCATATTCGTCCCTTTAGATATTCAGTACTTGGAATGTTCAAAGGTTATTTAATTATTCTATTTCTGGCAATGAAAGTCAGAGGTAGATTTTTCCCAGCATTATTGAGATATAATTGACAAATAAAAATTGCATATATTCAAGGTATATATAACATGATGTTTTGATATACATACACATTATGACAATTTTAAAATATAGATACCCAGATGTCATCTAGTAGTAAGTTTCAGTTTCCAGTAGAACATGTGTGCACACATATTGCTGACTTTTTCTTCCCCTACATCATGCTACACACCCGCAATCATTTGTCTTGCCATGAACACCTTCGTTTCCTGAAGCAGGCTGGAGAACGGCATAGAAAAATGTAACTATTTTCAAATTTTTTATAAAATAAGGGATTTACTAGGTTAACTTAATTTTACTTTTCCATATATCCTAAATTTTTTTCACCAAATTTTAGTGGAGTGTAAAAATGGCATTTCTTTGTATAATTTTTCTTCTCTAGAGTTGCCAGCATAACTACTATGAGGACGCAAAAGCCTATGGATTCAAAAATAAGCTAATTATAGTTGCAGCTGAAACAGCTGGAAATGGATTGTATAATTTTATTGTTCCTCTCAGGGCATATTATAGACCAAAGAAAGAACTTAATCCCATAGTACTGCTATTGGATAACCCGTAAGTATATTTTAAAATACCCAAACAAGACAAAGAGTTCTTAACATTATATCAAAAATAATTTACTTTACTTTGCTTAGAATATTTTAAATCAGATACATTATGGCACATGATTCATTGGGAGGTATATTTTGTGCTAAAACAATCACTGAATATGGTTATGTTTCACAAATACTACTTGAAACATCACTGGAGCACTCTGAGCATCTTATTTAAAACTATTTTGCACGTTGTTATCACTCAATATCAATGGGAAAGACGCCATTGAAATAATTACAGTTATTTTCTTTAAGTTAATCAGCTAGCCTGGAAAATTTCTGCCAAAACTAGACAAATTTCTTGTCTTTTGAAAGAACCATTAATTATCCGCTAAGCATATTAATGATCCATTCTTATGTGATAGTATGATACATAATTATAAGTTATTATGATTCTTCCACTGTTAAAACATACATTCTATACCATAACATGAATAATTAATGCTTTACCATGTTCATTTATTTTGAAAACGTGGGATTGATATACTCTTGTGAGATAAGACTACTTAAGCATTTCACAATCCTTATGCAAATATAAATGTGGGTCACTGAATGTTATGGTCAAACCCATTGTGTCCTAAAATTATGATATTCCTCTCTGTGACTCAAAATTGGTAGCAGATGGTTCTTAGATCAATACCATATTTTAGGATCCTCCAACTCTCCTCTTAAATTCCAAAGTGATACAAAATTTCAGGATAAACTAAATGAGGCCAAAATCTGTTGCCTTGTTCTGCCTTTAAAATTTATCAAAAGAAGTTTTTCAAAACAGAAATATCTTTTCACTATTTTAACTTAGTGACATTGTTTATTCTGAATATACCAATATCAAGACACTCTTTGATGCATCTTTTTTAGCATCATTATTGCAATGATAACTCTAAAAATTGAGAACACTCTAGAGGTTTCAGTTGAAGAATTTTCAGGTATGATGAATCAGTGACTTTCCTGTTATCACTTTGGCATCCAAGGAAAGATTAGGTAAATTTAGGGCAGGTATGGGGGGAGCAGAAACTTGGATTTGATGTCAGAAGAAATTAAAGCTTAATGAAACAAATCTTAGGAGGATGAAAGTTGGGTTGCGGGACGGGTATGGCAATGGAGTGGTTGTAAAATACCTCCAAGGCCTTTGAATGTATCCCTAATTCTAGAACCTCTTTGGCAGGAAGTTCTAAGGGACTGGTTGAACTGGCACACAAGAAATGCTCAATTGGCCCTGTGAATTGTAACACATCAGGTTTTGGCTCTTTGTGCTTTTGGTGTGTTTGTTCCCTTAGAGATAGTATTTAAGGTAGGTGCATTTTCAAATTGATTGCCTTAGAACATCCTCATCTTGTATGGCTTGGATCAAAGTGGATCAACTGAGAGAAAGATAGGAGTACAGAGAGAAAGATAGGAAGAGGCTTGAAAAAGAAGTATCCCTGTGGTAAAGCAAGGGGTAAAAACTGACCTTTCCCCTGCTTTACGTTATTTCAAGGTAAAATTTCTTGTTCTAATGTGTAAATCTAATTGGGTTCCTGGACCCAGTTTCAATGTGTGTATGTGTTGGTGGGTGGTTTCCCACATCCCCAGCAAGCAATACCCGAGATCAGCTGGGTGTCCTACAATTCAAGTCAATTCTAACACTACTGTCTGGGTTAAGGGTTCCACAGTTTAAGAATTCAGTCCTACAAGATTACTTCCTCCATTCAGAAGCCAATCACAAGCTCAGCTTATCATCTGTGTTTCTGCCCAACCAGCTATAGACTGGAGGTTCCAGTGACCCCCTCCTTGGACTTGAGGTGCTACTCACAAGTCCAGGTTGTTAGCTATATTTCTTTCTTTTTTTTTTAAGTTTTTTTTTTTTTGACAGAGAGAGAGAGAGCACAAGTGGGGGAGGAACAGAGAGAGAGAGAGAGAGAGAGAGAGAGAGAGAGAGAGAGAGTCTCAAGCAGTCTCCACACTGTTAGCACAGAGCCCAACATGGGTTTGAATCCACGAACCATGAGATCATGACCTGAGCCAAAATCAGGAGTCAGACATTTAACTGCCTGAACCATTTAGGTGCCCCTTTAGCTATACTTTTGACCAACAGACTAGAAATCAGAGTTCCCTACTCAAGTTCCATTAATTTCCTAGAACAGCTCATAGAACTCAAACGTTTACTTCCTGGATTACTGGTTTACTATAAAAAGGTATAACTCAGGAACAGCCAGATGGAGTTGATGCATAGGGCAAGGTATGGGGAAAGGGCATTGAGTGTCCACACCCTGTCTGAGGGCACCACTATTGCCAAATGTCCATTTGTTTACCAACCTAAAAGTTCCTCAGACTCCTTCCTTTGGGTTTTTATGGAGGGGTCATTACATAGGTAGGCATAATTGGTCAAATCATTGGTCATTTGTTGTTGAACTCAAACTCTAGCCCCTCTCCCCTTCTCAGAAATCAGGGTATGGGACTAAAAGTTCCAACCCTGTATTCATGGTTTGTTCCCCTGACAACAAGCCCCCAAAAGAGGTGGTTCCCAGAAGTCACCTCATTAATATCAACCTGGTTGTGATGGAAAGGGGCTTGTTATGAATAACAAGACACCCGTTGTACATCTATGGCTCTGAAGTGATATCAGGAACTGAGGACAAGAGAACAAACATTATGACAAAAAATGTTCCCATTCTCCTTTCCTCAGGAAATTCCGAGGGTTTTGGGAGCTATGATCCAAGAATCATGGATGATCTGAATGTCCAAATATATATTTCTTATAAGTCACGATATTACACCTCCCAAAAGAATCCATATCTCCAAATTTTGGAGTGGTGTTTACTCCATGGAATAGAGATGGACTTTTCTCTGTTTTAATATCTAGTCTTTATAGGTAATCCCATGTCAGCATCATTAATCCTCCAGTGTCTACCTTATTATCCCATTGAGCAGGTGGCAGGGTCTAGCGTTCCTTTATGTGTGTGTCTTATGTAGATTTTTGAATGGTTATATCTAAATCAGTCCCTTTTTGTTTAGTTCTGAATATAGTCTTAATTCCTAAATCTGGTCAATCATGGAAAAACCTGAAAACTCTGTTCCTCTTAATTATTGGAAAACTGGTCAGTATTTCCGCATAAATCTAGATGCAGCTTTTATTAGAGAGAGTATTTTGTCTGAATGAGACCATAGAGATCCTTTAATAAAGTCAATATTCTTTACTTCTACCCTCTGTTCATAACAGTAATAATTGTTGAGCACTTATTGCCTGTCAGTCATCATACTGGACACTTTACTTTTATTTTACATTTGTTCCCCTTAGAAATATATCTATATCATATACTGATGATTTATCCTCAGAGAGATGTACCAAGCAGCTTAAAATCTCAAAGTTTAGAAGTTACAATGATAACATTTAAATAAACCAGCTTGTGTCACTTGGTTACAGTACTCTTAATTTATAGACAAGGAAAAACAGACCAAAGAAGTTAAATGACTATTCCAAGGTTAGTTCTAGGATTAGAACCTTCTATGTAATTCATACTTCATTGTTCTTTCAACTATATGATGTTGCTTAACTTACAGGTTTTTAACATATGCAAAAAATACAGTGCGAATTCTTTTTAGAAACAGTAATATATTTTAACTGGATTATTTTGCATTAAAATTTTTTTGCTTTCCTAATAACTTACATTTTGGAATCTGATTATTCCCATGATGTTTTTTTGTTAGATGAATTTTGTAGGGTTTGACTTTTCTTTCAAAGTGTTAATGATGAAAGTACATGCTGTAATGTTTATTAGCTTCCTGAGTCCTTCCCAAAAGTGATGTCTAAAATTTTTATTTGTTGTCCTCTGCTCTTTTGGCCAAGAATGAGGAAACGAAAACTAAACACTAATAAATAATGTTCCAGGAAGTTTTATGCAATCCTTTTTTTTCAAACAATGAAATGTTTGTTGCTCTGCCATGACTAGTATTTTGTAATCTATCCTACAATGTTACAAAGAAATATGATGCTTTTCTTCTTCAACGTATTTCCATGTTATAAGAATATGTATGCTAAGAATTGTATACACTTTTTAAATTATTAGTTAGTTTAGTGGGTTTTGACTTTGTTTTAAATTCACATGAGTATTGCTGAAAATCATATTCAGTACATGGCTATTTAAGTTGAAAGAACAATTAATTCAATATAACAAATAAACAATAACAGATGTCATAAGTATGGGATTTTAAGATGTAAATTAAATTGATAATATTCCCAAACATAATATGTCAAAATATGTTTTCATAATGTTTCCAAATAGAAAGACTTGTGGATCTCATCTGATAACTTAATGAAACCCAGTCACAATGGAAAAGATCTTGCATTTGATACTGGCTCATTAGAGCTGGTCTTGATTCTAATTGGTTGGCCATCTGTTTTGTTTGGTCTCTTGTTGTGCTATGCTGATCTTAAATATTTCGATGACCACCACAACCTTCAAGGTCATCTAGTCATCTGATAATACCATTTCATAAAAGAGATGGAGACAAGAGTCAAGAACTTTGGAATATATTGCCCAAAGCTACACAAAGTTGAAGTGCAAGATCCAGGCTTATGTTCCCAAATTTTTACATCTTCTTTCTACAATCCTTTTAGTGCATCAATCTTCTTTTCATATATAGTGTCCAGTAAACTTCAGCTTATTTTAAAAGCAATGATACAATGTCTGATATATCAGAGCCCTTATTAAAGACATTCAATCTTTGGACTCCTGGATCTGAGATATGGTCTAAGCTTACTTAACTTCTTGATAAGGCTTTTGCATGTTATCAGAGATCTCTAAGCCTCAGTTTTCTCATGTGTAAAATGAGTAGGACATTTATCTGAACAGCTAATTTTGAGACTTTATAAGACAGTGTGTGTGAAGCACTAGTGAAATATCTCACTTAGTAAGGCAGTCAGGAAATGTCAGTTGTCCCCCTACCCCCCATACCAATCAAGAAAATGACATTGTCACTATTCAAACTGATGAGTGGATTTGGGTGAAAACCCAATTAACAATAAAGGGAAATTTATTTTAAGCACTTAAATGAAACTACTTATATATTTTTAAGAAAGGAATAAACTACTTAACAGAATTATGAAATGCTGACAAAATAAACTGTCTCACTATATTCATTCACTTCTTGAATTTGAAATACAAAAATTAAGCCCATCACATTTATTACTTAAATGGGAAATAATGATCTTCAACTTTGCAAATCCATGCAAATCCACAAACCTTTTCACTCCTAACAATCAGTAGCTAATTAACATTTGCATGTAATGGCAATTTTTATAATGAAAGCTTTTGTAAGAATATGATGTTTTACACTCATAAACAGTCATCTTTCTTAATATAATTACAGTTAGGTTGCAGATTAATGATGTGCTCACTTTTTTTCTGTTTACTAACATCAATTACGTCTGAGTTTGTTGAATTTTAATTTCTTTTATTACTATTTAGATACAACATGTTTTATTTTAGTCTGTGTACATTTCTTTTGTTCTAGATCTCTTTTCCTCTTTATCTTTTCTTGATTTGAAATACTTTTGTATATTAAGCAAAAAGAATCTATGAATTTATAAGTAACATATAAATATATAAGTAACACATTTTAAAAAAATGTTTAGTTTTGAGAGAGAGAGAGAGAGGGTGAGCAGGGAAGGGGCAGAGGAGAGGGAGACAGAGGATCTAAAAGCAGGCTCTGCGATGGTAACAGAGAGCCCCATGTGGGACTTCAACTCACAAACCGCGAGATCATGATCTGAGCTGAATTTGGACGCTTAACTGACTGAGGCATCCAGGTGCCCTTAAGTAACCCATTTTTAAATGTTTGTTTCTTTTTTGCTAATTTTTTTGTGATGAGCTTTAGAGTTAAATCTGTAATTATTTTCACTTTTCCATAATGTAATTTCTAACATAGATAGGTCTTCTGTATTTAACATTCAGATAAAAAATGCATACATTTTATTCTATAGTATTGATGGTTTTGTTTTCCTACATTCCATTCTTCATCTGTCCTTTGTTTAGGGTGCAGCATAAGAATGGGACATTTCCTGTTTTTATTAGAGTTTTATGTTTTTGCTTAGTGTCTTTCAATGTAAAGGTTATGTTTGCCAATTAACTTCAATAATTAGAAAGATTAGTCTATTAAGAGCCTATGATATCATTTATGTCACTCATCAATTACTAAGCAGTTTAGTGACATGAACACTGTTGCCAATTTAAATGAGCTAACATAGTACATACAAATGTACAATTGCTATGTTCTTTATGTTTCAAGTTTCCTTATAAACTAACTTTATCAATAAAAGTAGATGAATCTATTCGTTATACAAGTTACATTTTGCAAAAAGTATGGCATATAAGATTCTCTACATTAGATATGCTTCATCAAGATTATATATTTACTAGGTTTCAAGGGCTTGATTTACCTTGTAACATAGCTGAATTTGTGTAAGGATGAACTAAGCTAGCATAATGCAGATGCTAATGTAATTTCTGAGGGTGTAGAAGGTTGCTTGCACATCGTAAATACATGTTTGTGGCAGAATTGCATGTGGCTAAAATTCATGAGTTTCCTAAAACAAGGCAATAATTTTGATGTCTAAGTACCTTTAATGATTCCTACTGGAAAAAGCAACAAAATGCAAAGGACATATTTTTATTTTAACTCTAATTGGGAGAATTGGCATAAAGTAAGGACTTAATTTTTGTCCCCAGTGACCCCAGTACTATTTATTACACAGTTTTTCAGTATTTTCATTAAGTTGAGTTATTCAATAACATTATTTACTCTTGCTTTACTAGCCTTTAGAATAGAGAAGATGGCATAAAGAAATTGAAATGATCTGAATGTAAAAGAATGAGTCAGAGTAAAAGTGTGGTTATTCCAGCCAGGGTATGTATCTGCAATTAATAATGAAGAATTATAGATCCATCTCTGTCACATAGATTATTGAGCTACTCACTTTATCTGAGTAGAACTGCAAAGGAGTAAAGAGAGATGAAACAAAATAACAACCGAAAAAAGACACAGGCAAAATGATTTTTCAAACCACCGCAAAATCTCAGTACGGTCCCAATCTTGTGGTGTCCTCACACCTGCTTCTATAAACATGAGGTAGGGGAGGAGAGTCATGGAAGTTATCGAATGAGCAATGAGAATGGCACTTCTAATTTTAAGAAGCGGAGCAGTGCTCAGACCGAACCAGAAGGTTCTATAAAAGACTGCTGCTCGGACTGTATATTGTTATAATATTCATTGAAATGAACATGCATCATGAGTTTTTAAAATATCTGTATTCTGTGATTCATTAATATCCTTCTATGAATGCTTTGGCATAAATGATTTAAAAACTAATACAGGAAAATGTCATCTAAAGATGTTCATACCAGTATGGTATATAATAGCAAGATATAGGAAATAACCTGTAACTTCAAGAGTTAACAATATGAAAGTGAGAATAATTTATATACTGAATAATTGAGGATTTTAAACATTAATTGTGGTACATTTATAATATGTTATAATATGGGGCCATTTAAAATGACTATGAAGAAATTTAATGTTGAGCTGAATCAACATTACAATAGTATTCTTTGGAAGATTGTCTTTTTAGCTTCACTGTATTGTGCATTCTTTTTCTTTAGAGTTAAAGGGTTAAGAGGATGATCAACAGGAAGAAAATAGGTCAGGGAGGAAAAGACTTCATCTAGCTGGGATATTATAGATGCTATCCTTCCCTTTTCCTAGAATTTCCCTCTCCTTCTCTTTTACTGGCAAACATCCAAATTTAATATCACTTCTGTGTAATGATCCCCAATTCTGCTTTCTGAGTGCAATCTATTGGTTTTTTTTTTTCTGATTAAAAGATATATTGTAATTATGTGCTTTTGTACATGTGTTCCGAAAGCTGTATTTTATATAGTACAAGGTAACATGATATTCTTTTTTCTGTATGCCTTAGTATAGAAATGTCTATTATATAAATATATGGGTACATATATGCTGAGTGAATAGATGCATGAAAGAGTTAATAACTTTATAAAATGAATATAATAGATTAAGTGATTTCTAAGGAAGCATCCAGGTTTATGATTCTTTCCCCAAATATGCCTATAAGTATAGATTTTAATATATATTTGCTCAACAATATACATGGAGTAAGTCAATTATGTAAAGGTGAAATACTTTTAATTTTATATGATACATATGTTACATGGGTGCATATACTATATTTATTGATTAATAGGCTGATACATTAAAAAGGGCATGTTGTAATTGTGTATATCCCTTAGGGAGGTTGCTCTTAATAAGCATGCTAATTTAGTTCTCTATGCTTTGGGCCATCCAAGAAAAAAATCATTAATTTCTCATTTTACAATTCCTCCTCTGCATGAATAATTTTTAAAGTCATTGATAAGACTTTTTAGTCATAATTAAGGATATCAATTCAGTATTTTTGTAGAATAATGCCATAATGTTTCTGATTTAGAAAGCAGAAATACAACTTGTTTTTATAATATAATAGTACATTGTATTATTCATAACAAGTACAAATGATATTTTCTAATTAATGTTAAGAAAAAAGGCACTTAAAATTAATCTTGTCAACAGTGTTTAGTTTTGGAAATGCAAACTAAGTCAACTTACTTCCTTTCCCTAGAAGCGCTGCCACTGTTGTGACATTGTGTTTCATTTTGTAACCCATCTGCTACTTAGGCCAGATATGCATTTTCTGGATGCAATCTGTTGGTTTCCAATGGTTTACTACATGGTGGGCTCTATTGACAAGTAGGTGACAAAATCTTTGGCGCACTAACTAGTGTGGTGTCCTGTGGTTTGTCCTGTGCTGTGCCCCGTGTTGCATGATGAGTGTAATTTGCCATTTCAGTATTGCAAATATGGTGTATTTTGCATGCAGAGCTTATGGTCTCGTGTTATACATCTTGTATTCAAACTTCCTAAAGCAGTAATCTGTTGTTGAATTAAAACAAATCTTGCTGCATGAGAATTTTGTCACATTTGTTTAGTTTCTAAAGCTATTTTAGTTTTGCACTGTCTGTAGCAATAATGTTGTTACTAAGGGCCGAGGGATAGAGAAAACCTAAAGGTTCAGTGTTGTGATGCATTGATATCATTGTCATAACTTCTGGAAACCTTCAAAGTAATTTAGAGATGTTTGTTTTAGGCCAGATTTATAAACTGGAGCATTTTCTTAAGAGTTTACTTTATTCTAGTAACATATATCAATCTATAACTTCTAAAAATGTGTTAATTAAGAAGTCAAATGTGTGCAATATGTTAGTATTAAAATACAAATTCTTTTATATGCATGAGCATATAAGAAATATAAAAACTAAAGATCATAAAACTAATATGCACATAAAATGTGTTAGCTACCCATTAACAACAAAATGTCTACCAGAACCGTCGAAACAAAATGCTAAAAGTTATCAATTAAGAACTTTCATGCTTACGTTTTGTCCTGTAGATATTGAAAAACAAAGTCTTATAACTTTGGAAGTGTTTATTGGCTGTTGGATATATTAAAGACCAAACTAACTTATATCTAGCCTCTAGTCTACATTAATATAATTTACATGATCAGTTATCTTAATACTAACCAACTAAGATGTAGTTAGACGCATTAAAATTACTATTTAAATCCATGAATGTGAAATCAAACTATATTTTATCATTAGTAATGTTACTGTGAAATGATAATATTCTATTAAAATTCATTAGAAAAACAGAATACTTAAAAGATGAATAAACCTCCCATCTGTCCTTGTTGCTGTAAACTATGAAATGAATTCTTCCTCTATAAAAGTGTTTATGTTGAGACAAAGAACTGAGAGGGTCAAGTTCCTATGAATGGAGAAAAAAGCAGGATTGGCAACAAGTTGATAATTATTGAAGCTGGGTTGGGTGATTGAAATATGGAGGTTCACTGTGTTATTCTCTTTTGTCAATGTTTGAAATTTCCCTTAAAAAAACAGACACACCTTTGAATGAATTAAAACCCATTCACAACACTGCCGTATACTCATACATTCACATTGTAGTTCTTGGGAAGGAAGGCTTAGAGAAGGGTACAAAGGAAGTTGTTTCCTCTTGAGATTATCTTTTTTTCAAGATTAACTTTTATCTTAGTCAGCCATCTGGTGGCCAAACTGTGTAAAGCAACTGTGCTGAATAAAAACATAGGCAAGTGGCTTTGCAAGAGGATAGTGTGGAAAAATCATGATAGACATGGCATTATAATTCACTGGTAGCATAATAAAGATAAAAAAGGAATAAAATGTAATATTAAATGGATACAAAAATAAGTGATTCAAAGTTAAAACATGAAGAACAAAATGTTTCTACGTGTTTCTGAAATGCCATTCCAATTTTATGTATTTTCTACAGATTTAAACTCGTACTTAATCATAATTACTAAAATCATTTGCCTAGGTTATATGTGAACTACAGCAGCCAATATTTTGAGTATGGAATTAACTGATACATATAGGTATAGGTAACTATTAGCTATTTGGCACAGTTACTTACAGTGAAATTTTTTGTCAAGTTCCAACCTCATTGATTTATTACTAATGAAATATTCATTTTTCTGTCATAACTTTCATGTGTATATCCTTTTCCAGTCAGGCTTACCTTCTTCCACTTGATCTGTCCCTCTTTTTATGTAGATAATTATAATGGAGAGATGATTTTTTTTTTTTAATTGGGGAGCAGGATTTTAAGAGCTAACATAGAAAGCGACTTAAAATTATAATAAAGTGAATTGAAGGCATCATTGTTATGGCCCATAAGGGACTATATCACATTAATTTTCTACCTATTTCTTTGTTTTTAAAAATGTATTTTAATAGACCTAAGAACAATTATGAATTTCTTAGTTAAAAGGAACATCCAAATAAAGTATTTCTAGGGATTTAAACTTGATCATCATATTGATTGGATATTGTGGTACTGGCCCCTCTTACCATAGGAAATTTATTTGGAATAACATTCTGTTTCCATAGTTTTAGCCATAAAATCTTTGCCACAGAGCATTGTTCCTGATCCAAGCAAAATATTTTTTCTGAACTACCCCTGGGGATCTTGGACTCAGAGCTTTGGTAATACTCTCTCACCTCATAACAGAATAAGAAATCCCACCTCCTTCCTCATCATAAGAAGAAAACAGTTCCCTCTAAAGTAACGTGACTAGTTCAGCCAATCACACACTTGGAAAATATCCTCAGGGAACTGACCCTTCAATTGAAGAATTTAAAAGGAACTACTGTTCTTTAAGGTCTACACGGTCTTTAGTCAACTTTGTACGGACAACGTTCTTACACTCATTCAAATTTAGTCTCCTTTATCTACTTCAGCCCTATTTTTCTAGTTTGTATGAAGCAGAGGCAGTGAGATAATGGTTTCCTTGTTTCAGTTTTAATGTTAACATTTTCTTTTAATTCAGTGGGAAACTGCTAGTTTTTATCAGTGATAGGGGAGAAGACTGACTATTATAATTCACAGGAATTTGTATCTAGTTTAGCAATTATTTCATGCAACTAAAGAAATTAGGTTATTCAATCGGTTGCTCAAAAACTAAATGGTAAATGGTAAGTTTGAATACAACTGATATTTATATATTTTTCATGCTCGTGGCTGTGTTAAACCAATCTTTAACACACAGCTCTCACAAAGAGATAATCCACATTTGAGAATATTTCATAGTTTAACATTTCTTTGTTGGGCTAGACCATCTAAGGTAATATGAGTATTCATCTCTACTCTTACCAAAAGTACTGTAGGGATAAAGAAGATGTAAATGTCATGTCTTTGAAATAGTGAGAGAAAAGTTCTGATATGCTTTATTTCTATTTGATTGCAAAATGGGTGTTTTCCGTGTTTTCCTTATATAATTAATAAATATTATTTAAAAATTCTTAAAGCATAGTGCTTTGAAACGGTTAAGATCTAATGAAACATAAACAGCTCAAAAATACAAATTATTTAATATCTGTAGAGAATGTATTATAATCCCCATTAACATCTACCAGGGCAAACTCTGTGAAAGCCATCTATGAGGGCAACCTATACAAGTGTAGTGGGTAAGCAAGCACTGATCTTAGTACTGTGATTTATTGAAAGTCCATTTTTCTCTGTTGATTTTTATCAAAGCCTAGATGATTTACTCAGGTGTGGAGTGACTTTCGCTGCCAACATGGTGGTTGTGGACAAAGAGAGTACCATGAGTGCCGAGGAAGACTACATGGCAGATGCCAAAACGATTGTAAACGTGCAGACCCTTTTCAGGTAACTGTCTGAATAGCTCTGCCCTGCTGTCTACTTACTGCTAAATATCTGTGAAATATTTGACTCTGAGTCTGTATAAAAGGAGTGAACATGAGATACTTACCCTGAAGTTACGTTCATTCATTCAATCCAAAAGCAAATACTTATTTAACATCTAATGTATGACTGGCACTATATGTTTAATTTTTTTAATTTTTTTTTTTTTAAGTTTATTTACTTATTTTGAGACGAGGGGGCGGGACAGAGAAAGAGGGAGAAAGAATCTCAAGCAGGCTCCACACTATCAGTGCATATCCTGGCTTGGGGCTTGAACTCACAAACTGTGAGATCATGACCTGAGCCAATGTCAGGAGTTGGACACTCAACCCACTGAGCCAGCCAGGCACCCCACCATGTGTTTAAGTTTTAATGCAGGATCATCATTCTTTTTTTTTTTTTTTTTTTAGGATCATCATTCTTTTAAAAATAAATAGAATAATAAGTGTGGGTTTTTTTGTATAGTTTAACATAACAAATTCTAAATCCTGAGCTGTAGTAGTCATGATGTGTGACAGACCATGTATGTTACAATTTTGGTTTTATGCCTGGCAGTGGCCAATAGTACGTGTTTACAAACTGGATTACTAGGAATGAATAAAACTGTGAACAGGTAATTTACCCATGTTAGGAGGCAAGTCATAACTCATCCAGATAGGAATTTTCTTTATGGTTATCTTTGAGTAACAGTGAAAACCAAAGAAAAGGTCATGTTATAAGCAAAGTCAAAAACTCCCCTGTAAATGAAGACATCTATGTCACTTGAATGGTTCTTTCTGAAATCATTTTAAAATTTAAATATCTAAAAGATCTTTATTTCAGTTTCATGATTTTTGCACAAGGCCAAAGGACATACCTGAGCTACCAAATTATGGAAGTAAATAAAACAATCTGAACTCCATCATCATCTTCCATCACTCCACCTTTATAACCTTTATATTGTAGCAAAGCATATACTGAGGGTAATTTTCAGTTTAGAGTTTGAGTTTAGAATTCAGAAGAGAGAGGCTAGATGTGAGTCCCACTTAAGTTGATTATTTACTATATGATCTTGGGCAAATTACTTTCCTTCTCTAAACCTCAATGTCTTAATCACAAAGTTGATTGGAATTTAAAAATATATAATGCTGTAGCACGTGACTGGTAGTTTTCAATTATTCAGTGAAGGCTACTGTAATATTAGCACTCTCATGATCGCTTTCATCTGACAGAGTGGAAAAGCCACAGACCTTGGAACAATATAACAACAAACTTTATCTGTCCCAGAGGTGCTAGTAGACACTTTGTGACCTCAAGCATATTTCTTAACTTCATAGAAATTCAGTTTCTCTCATGCATAAAATGCATGTGGACAATAGTTAACCCTTCTTGCAGTGTTAATGTGAAGACTGGAAATTAGGTATATAAAGAGTCTGTTTTCCAGCATCTGGAAAATTTACTCTGAACTTGCATGAGAAAGTCTTGTTTCAGAAGGAGAACAAATGTACCCTCTAAAGTTACTGTAATGAGGCGGTTCATTTAGAATAAGGCTGACTAGTTCTTGAGCTATATGAAATAGTACAGTTAAAGGGAGAATAGCACATGTTTAAAATATGACAGATATGTAAGTAATTTTTTTTCTCTAGAGAATGCAAAAGGATATTATAGGGTATAAAATTAATTTAGAAGGATGAGATTTACAGCCAGTGAACAACGTAACATCATCCTTTTTATTCCCTGTGTGGCAAAAGCTAGTTATATTTTTAACAAGAGAGGATCTTTGGTTCTTTTGATTAAACATACCATTTTAGCTTTCAACTTATCATGAGTTTATTTCTATTATGGTAAAGTTTCTATTGACCTACTTTTATTATATATACTATGAATGAATAATTTTGATTTTAAGATAACAATCAATCAATCAATCAATAATAAATCCCCATCTTACTGAGCGATGCAAAGGCTCTAATATTTTTGAACTAACTGACCAGAATAACTAAGGGTAGATATACATGTAGTGATATTACCATTATTTCACTAAGTACATAACAATATTTTCCAAGAAAACAGTTCTGTGAAACATTTTTATGGGGTAATCCATGAGCTCCTAATCTAAACTAGTGCTAAACTAGGCTAGTCTTATATAATAAAGTGCAAAAGTAAGACACACATGGATCCCCATGATGTACTGAATGTTATTTATATAGATAAATGACCAAAACTATGCAAATTTATTAGTTTCATCAATAGGTGCAGTCAGTTACCACCCTTGAGGTCACCCACATTCCTTGAAGATTTTAGTTCCTGATTCACTGTGACTCTAGAAATCCTGCTTCTATCATAATTCTTGATGGTATCAGCAATCCTACACAGATGATCTTTTCAGTGTTTCATCTTAGCCACCTGTTCTCATGGTCGTAGCCTTTACCTTGAGGTAACAATGATTTTACCCTCCTTCTTTTCGGTTTCATTCAGTTCTCTGAGTACTACTACTCTGAGTACTATTGGGGGTATTTCTTCTAATACCCTCAATCTTAGCAGCCTTTTGTCTCCACTAGAACCTACTATCCACTGGTTCTGCTACCTTTTCACTGTCCTTAGTCATCTGAGGACTTTTCTTCCATGCTTAACAAATTAAGTTCCAATATCAATCATTATAATCACTCCTGTGCTGAAACCCTGAATTAGTGTCCACCAATTACTGATTAGTGTCCACTACTGTGGACTGACACCGATCTTAACTCTCTTTCCTGTCTCCCTTCCTCTGCCCTCAGTTTTCTATCCTTTCAGCTTCTCTGCCCATCACCTTGCATGAAATTTCTTACAGACAGATGACAAAATTCCAGAGGTAGGATCCAGTTATCCTCATAAGTGAGCACCAGGCAATCAGAAATCCAGTCATAGTGGCTGGATACCAAGCTATTTAGGATTAAAGCTTAAGGCTCCATCTCGAAGAGAATACTGAGTATATGAAAGTCAATAGTGTTAAAAATGATTGAAGAAGACTAGTTAAGTGATACAAACAGACTTTAACATTTCACGAAGTGGGCAGTCTCCATTCTCAAGGATCCAGACAACTACAAAATGGAGTGTGAGGCAGGAAGCTTTTATGGGATAAAGAGTAAGGAATAAGAAAGAGAAAAACAAAAAACGAGTAAGGAACAAAAAACAAGGAAGTAAGTATAGACCCCAGAGTTGGCTTGGCATTTTGGGATTGGCTGACTGGATATATTGTGTTTCTGGTCAAGTGGAATATTTACAGGTATCAAGTAACTAACCTAAAACAATTTAGTAATGAGTTTGATATTTTTTAAAAAAATGTTTATTTATTTATTTTGAGAGAGAGAGAGAGAGAAAGAAAGAAAGAGCACGGGAGGGGCAGAGAGAGAAGAAGAGAGGGAATCCCAGGAGGGCTTTGTTCTATCAGGGCAGAGACCAACGTGGGGTTTGATCCCATGAACCATGAGATCATGACCTGAGCCAAAATCAAGAGTCAGACACCTAACCAGCTGAGCCACCCAGATGTCCCAAGTTCGATATTTTTTAATCAGTGGAAAGCAGCCTGTGAATTGGGGGAGTACAGTGCCTCACAAGCAGTGAGACACTTTCCCGGAGAGATTTTGGGCAAGAGTGAGTTTTATAGAATGTGAGAAGAGGCAACATGGAAACAGGGCATGATGGGCTAGGAGGTCAGGCATTTGCTAAGGCTAGTAATAGGTCCTGTTTTCTAGCATAAGCTGAGCTAGCTAAAGCTGAGTTGGAGGATTAGGGTTGGTGTATATTAGGTTTCCTTGATAGATATTTACCAAAAGTACAGGCTGACATGTTTAGATTTGTAACATGGGCCAGGCCACTGAGACAGCCTCTGTTTTGTGGGTCCCAAAATTCAAATTAACGTTATCACAGAGACAGAAAAGTTATCTAAGTTTTTAGTTTGCTGGCATGGCAACCCAACAGGAGAAGCTCCATCGTGGTCCTAGAATTTTTTTTCAATAATAATATCACAAAAATATCTCAGCCAATCCTTATATCTTCATGAATATCATTAATTTCCTCAAACAAGAGCTGAATTCTAATCTTCTCTGTAGCTGTATATATTAAGCAAGTTAAGATTACCTTCTGCTGTTGCTCTGTATAGAGCAATGCTACATTTTATTAGCATTAGTTTGTAAATGACTGTGTAGTTATTAGTTTGTAAATACCATTTATCTTGATTATTTTGACATTCCATTTTGACATGGGGCATTTTGACCTTTACATTTTCAGCTTTTAAAACTACTAAAGAATAATGTTAGAGGAATCTTCAATCTGTGGTTGTATTAGAGTCCAGGACATAAGAATGAGATGGAATTCAAATATGAAATGAAAGCAACAGTGCTCTAGTTCTAGTTATTGATAAAAACTGGTATGATTTGTTTTGCTGGCTAGGAATAGGGTTAAATTTGTTGTTATTCAGAAGCTCACAGTGACCACTTGAACCCGTACCTGCCCAGCTTACTATACAGCTTCACTTGACAAGGCCTCTCTTTTGTCCAGATTGTCCAAGGTCCTTTCAGAGTTACTCAGTCCCAAAAGACCAAAGGGAAAATAGGAGAAACTCACTAATTCACTAGCAGTATATTTGGGTGGCAGGGCTAGGAAGAATTAGAGAACAGTTGGGGGCATCGGGAGAATTCCTTTTCATCTGGAATTGCATTTATAACTCAAACATAGTTTTGTAATTGAAAACTGGATTACACAATTCAATGTGTCTTTATCCAGTAGGGCAATTATATATTTGCTTGTTTGGCCCTTGCATGTTTCTTCCAGAGGACCTACCCAGAAAGTGTTTTATTTTCCATATCCAGAATCTGGAGCATGACATACAAAGTGTTAACACTCAGATGTTTGATAAACATTCCTTAAGTTTGTTCTGGGATGGCTGGGACAAGAGGGGCCTCCAGCCTCAGCCAAGCTTTGTCACCAGAACAACCTAAGCAGGCCCTGTATTGATCACTTGCCCAAATTTGTTCCTTCACTTACGATGAGTTTACCTTTGTGGGTTCGGAGTAGTCCTTTATAGTAAGCAGCAAACTCCTTCAGGGACAATCTATTCCAGAGGTTTCAGATTCTCTAGGTAAGAGAGTATCTCTAGTACTTTACTCTGAAGAGATTCCTTGAATCCTAAACAATTGGCCCATCAACCTTAGAGACCATTTCAAAGTACCAAAGACTATAGGAGATAAGGTCTTTTCAAGTCAAATATGGCTAAGCCTCTTACTCTCCTGTGCCTATGGACCTTAGTTTATACATCTAAGAGAAAACACTCATGGGTCATTCTCCTTGAAAGATCTGCTAAGTGAGTGTCTGATTTCCAAATTAAAAGAAAAGCAGGTCCTTACTTTAAAATTTAAGTGTCTCTTGCTAAAGTTTTACCTCACAAGCACTTGGTGTATTGAAAATATTGCCTGTTTTCACATTTTTATGAACGTGTTAATATCTAAACTAAATTTAAAGAAGCATGCCAAAATGTGCCTTGAATTAAAAACAACCACTTCAAAATGGCCATGTCGTCTATCACTATTCTCATTTAACTGAAGAAAAAAGACGATATTGAAAGCAACTTACTAGCTCATCCTATCCTATATAGGAAAAAAAAATGGCCGATTCAAACCAACAGCCTAAGTCTGTGTATCAGGAGAAAGGGAGAGGAGAAAATTAACTCAAGGAGTCGTGAATCAAATGTTTTTCTAGAGAGCACACAAGATAGATAAACATTAGTTTAATACAGAATGGGTACAAAAGTAAATACTTGCTAATTTTAAAAGACGAACTAAGGTATATTAAAAATTTTTTAATTTATTTTAGCAAAAATCAGTTCAGATTTGTCAGTGCCAGGTAGGAAGTAGTTAGAAACACTCCGTGGACAGGAGTGAGGGACTTACAGAGAAGAGGCAGAAATAAAGCAAAGAAATAATTGATCAGCTACAGCTTAAGTGGTTGTATTATTTGAGAAAGCCTAGTTGACGGTTTGTGATTGGCTGTCCTTTGGTTTTGATTTCTTAACCTTGAGGCATGTATAGGTTGAGGTGTTGACTTGTTTAAGTAACCTGCTAAGGTATTAGAGCCATCTCAGTCTAATGGCCTCCTTATTTAATTAACATTAGTTTTCTTTGCATTGTAAAAGTCCAGGAATGATTTAGTTCAGAAGTCTCTTAGGCTGATTTTCTTTTAATATAAAGATATTTTTGCTTTTGATTTTTTTCCTAAAATGTAGCTGATCAAACTGGTAAGATAATCGGTGCTCTGGCAATGGGAACATATTCAAGTCTTGGATCTGTGTATTGCAGGAATCAGAGAAATTCATGCATTAACCCCATAATAGGTCAGGAGGACGTCTACAAACACCTACACTTGTGATTTATTCATGGTATTATTGAGCATCTAGTAAGTTTGGGGACTATACAGAATGCTATGGCTGAGCAGTGCCTAAGGCAGACATAGTGATCAGTAGTGATTAAGTAGTGATAGTCTAAGCAGGGAACATATTAAACAAGATATTCCAGTAGGGAATTATAAATGTAGCAGCTACTGAAAAGAGTATAGTGTTATACAGGTACAGACAACAAAAATGTATGATCTAGTCCAGTGGATCAAGGAACACCTACCTATTATCTCCCTGAAGAATTTACTCAGTTGTTTACTTGATAGACTAAGCAGGCGAGGAGAGGAGTAGAACATTCCACAAGGGGGCAGCATATCCAAAGGCTCTGAGGTATTGAGGCAGGCAAAGTTGATGACTTGGAGCAGAGCAGGTGGAAGACTGACAACGTGAGGCTGAAGTCTGAATCTGAATCAGAATATTCATGGCTTTGTAGAGCACGGTAGCAAGTTGATCTTCATTATAAGAACAACAGGAAGGAAATCACTGAAGAATAGAGTTTAAAAATACTATTTTAGCTACGACGTGAAGAGTGGTTTGAGGGGAAAGTAAGAGGAGGGGAGAGCTGTGCACTTAGAAGACTTGCATCCCCAGGATGCAAAGAGTATAAATGGCAAGTTAAAAAATAAAATCAAAAAAGAATATTGTCTTTATTTTGGCACAAGTAAGATTATTATTGGCACAATAATCATAGTTATTGAGGAAATGTCATACCTCTGTATGTGGGAAAAGACATAATTGAAAATATTGATAATGAGTATGTATAAATACAAGAATGATTCATTTATGTAGTGCAGAAATATTTTTATTATTTTGATTGGTTTACATAGATAAAAAAATTACATACAGGAGATATCTGATATCTCAGACTTAAAGTGTTTAAAAAGTATTTTTAAAAGATTATAATATATTCATATTTATTTTAGTGTTGAGAGCCAATTGTAATCTGAAACTGGTTTTTTACATATCTAAGTGAGTCTCTATACCTATATATTAATATATATGTTGTTATTCTGAAACATCATTCCTAGCCACCACAACAGATCAAAATTTATAGTGTAGCACACTAGCTCCGTTTTTTTAATTAAAATATTGTGAACATTTTCCAGATTTGTATGCCCTTATGTTTGTTTTTCTTGAATATATAATTGCAGGTAGTCTCAGACTTCTCCCAGTGGTCTGTCAAGTAGAGTATATGGTGTGTTTTTCATCTTCTATTAGTTAGCATAACTGGGCATGTCTGTCAAAAGTATTTTTTGAATAAATTATACCAAGCAGAGAATTGGTATAGAGATTTTGCACCTCTCCACAATGATGCTTACATCACTCAGTCAGGACATAAATTGATTGTAGAAAAGTTTTAAATAGAAAAAAATATTATTTTTCTTGTTTTTAATGTTTGTTTTTGTTTTTGAGAGAGAGAGAGACAGAGAGACAGAGACAGAATGCGACTGGGTTAGGGGCAGAGAGAGAGAGAGGGAGACGTGGAATCTGAAGCAGGCTCCAGGCTCTGAGCTGTCAGCACAGAGTCCAATGCAGAGCTTGAACTCATGAACCGTGAGATCATGACCTGAGCTTAACCAACTGAGCCACCCAGGCACCCCAGACCATATTATTTTTCAATTACAGTATTGCTTTATTATGATCTAGTACCTAGGGAAAAATACATTTATTATGTCATTTTATTTCTAAAGTGTTTTATACTCAAAATGTGTTTAGGTCATATTAAAGCCCAGAAATAGATTTACAGATTCATATTTTAAGATACATAATTAAAGTTGCTAAAAAAACAAATTTATGAATGTATTATAATTGAATGTAAGTAATAGTTTATAGATATAAAAGGCAATGCACTAAAACATTTCATTAAAGTATTATTTAGTTCTAGATTTTCACTAGGTGGCAGACGTAGACAATGCATTCACTTTCTCAGTTTCAAATAACATAATGGTATTGGTTCATTTATATAGAACAGAAACAGCACATCATATAAACTTTTTGGTTCTATCTAATTTCAACTCTATAAGTCACTTAAATACAATGACCAGATCAACCAATCATATTATCATTTACTGTTACTCAGCTCTCAAGTATATAGCTACACATTTCTACTTGATGTAATGTGTTAGAAATCATACCAAGTAATCCCACAAAAGTATCCAAAGTTTGAAAAATAATATGTATGAAAGATAAAAGCTCTATTTCGCAGAGAAAATTTAAACTTTCCAAAAGATGAAATAAATTTTCATTGTTTTGCAGCTATGTTTTTCTCACAAATTACTTCTCTGGCCTTGTATCTCAACACTGTCCTGGATGCTTCTCACAAGCTATCCATTTACTGGTGTCTTAATGCTGCATAGTCTGTGAGATTCAGTCAGCCATATTTATCACTCTTATAAAAATATATACAGCCTTATAACTTACACATTTTTATAGTTTCCTCTATTGGGTAGTAGAGTCTAATTTAAAGGCCAGCATATCTCTTTATACCTCTTTTTAGGTCTTGGAGACCAGAGCTTTCCAATAACAAACACTTCATTATTATTTATTAAATTAGATATTAAAAATATGCCTCAGTTAATAGAAATAACAAAATGAAGTTATGATCTGACAACTATTATCTTGTGTGTGTGTGTGTGTGTGTGTGTGTGTGTGTGTGTGTGTGTGTGTGTTTTGGGAGAAGGTGGTGAATAAGAAGGAAGCTAATGCAAAGCTATGGGATGCATGAAAACTCTCAGGATCTTTCTAGAATAACACTATCAGTTGAGCCTTGGCCTCAATTCATTACAATGAAATGTTATTTGAGTTAAAATATTTTCTTTTCTCAGGAGATCATTATAGCAAGATGTGACCTTCAAAATCGCATACTATGAGAATAGGGAATCTTAGAAGATCAAAGAACTCATATTATGGACAATAAGCTCATCACGTGGAATTTTTGTCAATTGTCATATTCATCTTATAAATTTCTCTTTTGATATTATCCACAGAGTCACTTGTGACTTCTTAAATTAGCTTCATGAGCTTCTCTTCTATGCCATTTCATAATTGTAGAGAGAAAAATATCTAATAAAAAGCCAAATTACTAAATTTATTTTTCTTACAGTGCTAAAATGTTGGTTAAAATATTCTTTGGGAAATAGCATGTCATTTTTCTTGCATTGTACAGACAGTTTATGTGACAATGCCTGCTGTTGTAACTGCATGTAGTTTTATGCCTAAGGCTAGGAATCACTCACTCATAAATATGTTGTTACAAAATATACCATATTGGATTGTTAGTGTGATGCAAATGCTTTTTTGTGTGTGTGTGTTTTTAAATGTAGGTTGTTTTCCAGTCTCAGTATCATCACAGAGCTTACTCACCCAGCCAACATGAGATTCATGCAATTCAGAGCCAAAGACTGTTACTCTCTTGCTCTTTCAAAACTGGAAAAGGTAAGACTTCCTATTAAGGAGGTTGCATTTAACTATTTTTCTTGAAAGGGCAACTCTGCAATTCCTGTATATAGAAAGAAATGTCATGGGATAGTAGAAATAAAAGTGCTGCTGTGAATTCTTGTTTTGGAGCTAAAAATCTTCGTTTATAATTTTTTAATGGGAGTTGATGGATTTGAACCATTTGTATCACAAGTGAACATACTGAAGATATCTTGTTCTCTCATCATTTATTATAGATTGAAAGCATGATTTAAGAAAGAGTTAAATGCAACAAGAATGCATATACCCGCTTATAATGTCAGTTATATTGATAATGTCATGAGCGCTATGTCAAGAAATCCATGTTGTATAGAAGGCTTTGCAGTTTAAAATAATCCTTAAGGCCTTAGAAAAGGCTTTCTTGAAAGTTAGCTTCCCAGATGTCACCAACACAATCTGAGACAAAGCTGAGTTTATTGCTTACTTAAATAAGGGAGATGGTCATCTCAGAACTTTGGCAGTGCTTTAGAACTGGGTCAAAGTTTATTGGGTTTTGGAAATCTTACTTAGTGAGGGTCTTTTGAAGTGGGAGTTTGATTAGGATTCGCAAGGGATCAGGGTAATGTGAACGGACAAAGTAGTTATGTGGACAGAGAGGTGTGGTCCATGCTTAATGTCTAGACAGAGTGTCAGGGTAAATGGTTTTTGCATGCAGCATTGACTTGATATTAGTATACTGGGAGAATTTCATATAGAGAAAACAATAAGATTCAATCTTATACATGTGAAAATGTGTTAAGTCTGTTCTATCTTCATTGTTTATAACAATATAAGAGATACAGAAAACGATGCCTTATATTTGTTGTTGTTGTTGTTTGGTTAGTTCATTTTTTCACTTCATTTTGTTTCGATTACATAGTCCTAATTGCTAGGAGATATATTGCTGAGTAAGGGCATTTCTGTACTCTGGTTTGTTGATACCCAGCTTCAGAGCTGGTCACATACGTTGTGTCAGTAGAGCCTTACCACTGTTCCTTTGTTGTCATAGTTAAGTTTTGTCAGGCACTGCCTTCAGAAGAGGGAACTGAGTTTAAGCCAGGTAAAATAAGTTTTCCAAGATTACATAGCTGTCAAGTCAGTGCAGAGAATCTTAAAGACATTAGCATTGAGGACAGAAAACTTCCATTATGCCACACTGCTTTAAGAACATAGAAAGGGTGGTGAGAGGCATAGTGAATTGGCTCAGCATCCACAGACAAACCCAGTTACCAGGAATCCAGCTGGAATCGGTGCTGGCTTGGTGTCTGATGGTCTCCTTCATGACAAAGTGAGCGAGGGTCACCTAGTGATGAAGAATACAAGCTCCGGAGTTAGATTGGTCCATTTCTCTACTACTTTCTAGGAATGGAACCTGGCTAAATAAATTATTTACACATTGATAGCTTTGGGATTCTTCTCTGGAAATAATGGTAATAGACAAATAATAGGATCGCTGCAAGATTACACCGCATGATCTATCCAAAACATTTAGCTGTTTTGTCGTATAGTCAGTACCGAAATAAATGGTACTAAAAACATAATTATAAATTGTTGTGGATGTCACTAATAAACATTCCATTCTGTGTATTCAATTTTACGCCGAATAGATGTTTCAAGGTCATAACTGTGGAAGATGTTTTCAGTAATGTTGACTGTATGTGTCTATATTTTTGTGTGTCTGTTGCATTAGGGCAAAAGAACAAAATGATATTTTTATTTTTGTTGGGGAATTAATTTAAAGTCTTCTGCCAGCCTAGAAATCCTCTTCACAAATGTAGGAAAGTTTTACTTGAATAAGCATTAAATCAGACTGCAATATATCTCAAGCAATCCACTAAAGAGATTGCAAAAAACAGAAAGGCATCTCATCCTTTTATACAGCCAGGCAAATACAGTCATTTGCATACATGCTAATGTCTTGATAGAAAGGAAAAATAAAACTTCTTGTATTTCTGCAACAAGTAAAAGTTACAACTTCAAGCCCGGCACCTAGGCTAACCTCTCACAGAGACCAAAAGACAGGATGCTTTATGCTCACATTTCAGAAAGATAGTTCTAAAGCTCCCAAGAAAGACTTCACTGATTTACAAAAACTGACTAGAGATTATTCAGGTTTTCAAAAGGTTTGCATCCCTCTCAAGTAGAGAGAGAACTTACAATCGCAGGTTTTCTAGGGGAAATGCTTTAGCAAAAAAGAGCAGGAAGGAATGAGTTTTCTTTGTCTTTTGGCATCAGGGGAATTCACTTATTTTTTAGATTTGTATTTACTCTGACATGCTCTAGATATTTCCCAAAATAAATAAAGGAATTCAGTACATTCCCTAATTGTTTAGAAGTAGAGGGGCCAGGGGAATTGGAATTAAAACCAATTGGTTTGGAGGTTATAAAGTCATAGGAAATTCTTTTCAATTCAGTCATTACCACTTTGTTCATCTAAATAAGGATTTGGTACATAGAAACTTTTTAGACTTTTGGACTGTTTCAACTTAAATTGTGTTCCTCCCCCTCAAAAAAACATGTGTTGGAGTCCTAACCTCTAGCACCTCTGAATGTGATCTTATTTGAAGATAAGGTTTTTATAGGGGTAATTGGATTAAAGAAGACCATTGGGGGGGGGGTCCTAATCTAATACAATTGGCATTCTTATAAAAATAGTAAATTTGGACACAGAAACAGACACACATAAAGGAAAGACAATGGGAAGAGAAACAGGGAGAAGACAGCCATTCACAAGTCAAGAACAGCCTGGAACAGATCCTTCACTTAAAATCCTCAGAAGCAACCTATGGTGGTGACATGTTAATTTCAGACTTCCAACCTCCAGAGCTCTGAGGCAATAAATTTCTGTTGTGTAAGCCACCCAGTCTGGAGTACTTTGTTAGGGCAGCGCTAGGAAACTAACACATGTGCCATCAATGATATGGTAACTGTTCATTTCCAATCAGTGCTTTTTATCTGATATAAATACAGCTAACTTATCTCTTAAAGTAATTATCTTTCTTTGTCTTCTGGATGCAAGGAGATATTTTTAGGATTAGGAAACTGACCTTTATTTCTAGTATTTGAGTAACACGTTCTAGAGTTATATTGGCTGAGGAATAGGTAGATTTTTATTCTTTTGAATGTAATTATGAATATCGTTTTATTCTATCTCTAATTAGATGCACTTACACAGATGAAACCTTCACCTTTAGAAACATAATCAGTTTTTGAATTAGAAACAAACAACAGCTGGGCTGCTTGCCACACTTTTTTGACACTAAGTGGTTTCCATTTAAACTCAAGAAATGCTGGAATTGGTCAGGATGCTTGTGGAAGATTAGATTGCTTTGACCCTGGCTGCTTTACTTGTGTGATGATTACATTTGGGTGGTTTCCTGGTAGACCCTGCATTCTAATAGAACCTTGGTTGCCATTGGTAATGCAAGTAATAATCTGTAAGGATTCTCTGGAAGAGGCCACTCACGGAAGAATATCCACAATAATAACTTCCATTAGGAAGAGGAGAGAACTGAGAACATGGAAGGATTACTGGTCTGTGACAGTGATGTGAACAATAGATATTGTTGAGGACCTCCGTCTGTTCTTATAAAAAGAAAAGTCCTTGATTATTCCTTGATTACTTTTCTTATATTTGCTGTCTGGAGGTATTCCTTTTTCTGTTGTCTTATGTGACCCCTGTCTCACCTCAAGCTTCTTCCTAAGCTATTTTTATCCACGTCACTTTGGGAGTACATACTTCTTGCAGCCTGTGTGAATTTTGTATCTTGCTTATTGCTTATGCAAATTTGAAAAAAATCTAAAGATCTTTAAGCTTATGAAAGCACTTTTTTCCCAAGACATTTAAAGTCTAAAGATTTTTCAGACTAGTCTGCTAATTTCTCTCAAAAACTTGATAAACTTCTGGTATACTTACTTCCATAAATTTTTATGGCCAGACTGTCCTCAAAATTCCTTCTTAAAATATAATTTTTGAGTTTTTATTTCTTCGTCTCCTCAATCCATGCATCTCTCTATCTCCTTGGAAGCTACCTTGAGGTTATTGAGACAATAGTGTTGGGTTCGACTTTGTTGTTCAATGCCTTGTTTCAGTTTTCTCTCCTGTGTTGTTGGCATTTAGAAATACACAATTTTTAAATATTGGAGGCTCCTAATCTCTCAGCTACCTGTTTATTTTTAGTCTCTGCTTGAAACTAATTCTTGCCTAAACTACTACTGTCCTTGTAATGCCCAACGAAAGACAGCAAGCAAATAACAGTATATATACACCAATATTAAACAGATAGAAGTTTTTATGAGCCAGGACTGGGAATGGCAAATAAACTTCCACCCATATGCCATTGGCTAGAACTCAATCATGTGTCCACACCAACTTCAAGGGAGACTGGGAAATGTAGTTCAGTCATGTGCCTAAGAAGAATTGGGCAAAAGATTTTGGTGGACAGTCAACATTCTCTGTCACATGCAATATATCACTGATTTTTTTTCAAATGTATATAATCAAGACATTTTCTGAATATTAGTGCTTTAGTTGGCATTTTCCCATCATCTGATCTTTCTTTTGTTATTATCCACTTTTGTTCCTGAGTTGTTTTGCTTTACAATATTCTTTTTCTCCTGGATATTCCCATTACTGCCAGTGTTTTCCCAATATTACTTCCCACATTTGGACATTGGTCATGTTGGATCATTGAGACTTCCCCTAAAAAAGTAAGTGTAACAGGCATCAGAAACACAGTATTGGAGCTAAGCAGAGATGAAAAATGTGACAGATAATAAGGAAACAAAGAAGAGGAGGACAGCAATATGGAAAAGAGAAATTTCTATCTCATTTCCCTCTGAAGACTTATTTCATCTCTCTTGTTTTGATGCATTTCATAAAAAAGCCTTTTATTCATGCAGATGATGCAATTTGCTTTAAAACTGCTTCCTTTAAAATGGCTTTGGAACTATCACCATTCCTCAATAATGATCATAAT